ACGTCCCAGGACATGGCACATGGCAGTACTATCAAACGAAGAGAAGAGGGAGGGAGGGGGGAAACAAGGACACAGCTACCCAACTACCCGACCCTGGCACACAGAAGAGCAACAACACAACGCAGAACAAACAACAAAGCTGAGGAAAAAGCACACTGCTGAGCTTGGGTGGGGGAGATGGGTGGGGCATATCTTTGAGGCTGGAATTATTTTCCGGTTTGTGACAACGGTTTACACACGCGAGACACACACACAAACACATTAGCACACTAGCACATATCAACACAATAAATTTTAACACGAAAGAAAACAAAGTTGTGGGCCCAGTCTGCAGGACCTCGTCAAGAGATTCTGCTGAGTCACTGCTGGTGAAGGTACGGCAAGCATTCAGTTTAAAGCTGTTTGTCGCTGCCTTTTGGGATGTTGGTCACATGATGTCACATGTGACATCACATGAGATCACGTGACTCTGACTGGTTAAAAATAATGCATCAGCAGAGCAAGGCCAGGTCGCAGCGTCAAAGTGACGCAAATTTTCGAGGCACCACTTGCGTCATCTCAGCATCAAACCACTTGTCTTATGGGTTGCAGACGGTTGCGGTATATCATATTGGATTCCAAAATGCTGGGTACAGAGAAATTCTAATAGAAACTCGCTTGTTTCCCTTTTTTGGTCATACATATAAAGATACATACATACATGTCAGCAAGAGGCTAAACTCTCCGTGTAGGAGGTATGTATTCGAGCGCTCTCGTATGTAAAAATATGCATCTTGATATGTAAAACGATATGGTGAAGTCCCAAAAACGATAACCTGGGAATCATATTATATGTAAAAGCATTGTGGGAAGTGAAGGGGTTGTGTAGATGACATGATGGTGGATACCTGTTCTAGAAGCATCTAGATCATCTAGGCTCTCAGTTGTGGGGTACACGTCATGCCCAGCTCACACAACGGAAGATGTGCAAAAGTATGCTGACACTCTTGATCCTGGCCAATTTCTTTATTTCTGATTACTGCAAACGGTTTTGTATCCAATCACGTATTGTTATGTGGGAACTAGCCGGGTTTGGATGCTCTTTTTGTCTCGCCATTGTTCAAGCCTTTCGGGTGAGTTCCGCGCTTTCATGCAAGCAGTGACGATGACAACAGGTATCCTTTCCAACTTTCCTTGGTTCATGCCATTTTCCCAAAATTTTCCCTCTTTGAACGATAACGAAAACGATAACTAAACGATAGCCATTTCTTGACAAAATGTCCTTCGCTGATGGATGGCCCAGATGCCAAAAGATTCTTGAGATGATCCTTTGCCGTTTAATAGTATCACTTGCTCATTGCGATCTTTTCGCTGCTATGCGTATTCTTTTGCAGCGCTCCATTGCTTTAGTCAATCCCGGTTCATCTCGGGCACAACTGCACCTGCAAGTCCGGTTTGACGATCTTTATCCTAGATGAAGATAGCCAAGGCAAAGGCGTTGGACCAGGTCGATGGTTTGCTGCGCAGACGCTGGCGAGTGAATGAAAGGCATGGAGCATGTCGCTGTGAGAGCTCACCCGGGTTTCCTCCAACAAACTGAATTCAAAGCTTGATTCTGAGCTGGAGAAAGGATGGTGCAACTGTGATTTGCAGTTGCGTTGGCGGGTATCACACCACACCCACCATACAGTTGAAGCGCTGGAAAAGAAAGCGCAGGGCAGTCAAAGATGCCCAAGACGCGAAGTGGAGGTGTAAAAAGGCTTTCCGCATGCAGTTTGCCAGGGGATGCGGATGATGCAATCAGGATATACTGTAAAACGATATAGTGAAGTCCCAAAAACGATAACTTTGACCCGAGATCGCATTTTTCAATTGAGGTTTTGCCGATCGCTCAATGTGTATTCATATGTAATCAAAGCGAAGCAACGCAGGGCCGCGTTTAAGTTTGTAGATTGTTTTTTCCCATTTGTGTGCATATAACATGAGACAAGTGATTTCTTAGCGATTGCGGTGCCAAAACGAGAAAGGCTCGAGGCAAGCGGGCAAGAGTGCCAGCGCAAGATGCGCGCCTTTTTTTTGCGAAACCATGGTGTGATTCGACTCCAAGATCATCAGTTGAAAGAAAAACACAATCCAGATAAATGCGGGTTGAATTTGGGAACTTGAAATCAGATAAGGGATATGTTATGTGGATACTAGAAAGGACGAACAAAGGTTTTGGCTGTGGTTCAACATGCCCTTTTGAACTGTGCAGTTACTTGAGATGATGAAACAAAGATTGTCGATTTATTGTTGGGAATATTGGCTCAAGATGGCTCAAAATCCAACCACAACCAGTTTTTCATGTTGGTGGTGAGATGTTGAGGGGTTTATAATTCACCGTAGTATCCCAATGTTATCCCATTACTATCCCATTACAAACCCATGGATTGTTACTGGGATAGTTTATGCTTGGGTGAATCCCACATTGGCATTACTTTCTTTGGATCTGTTGAGACCACCCTTGCGACAATCCACCATGGCACACGGATTTCCGTTACGTTTTCGGGGACTCCATATGACTCCATACAGACAGCTGGTTGTTCGAAGAACGCTGGCGTTGATGGAGCCTTGTTCGGAGAACACTGACCAGCTGGTCATGCAGTTGGGATTCCAAATATGAATCCAGATCCAGTTGAATTCGTAGATAACAAACATTTGTATGGAATATGTATGTATTTTAGATTTACCCCGAAAATAACCCAAATCTAGGTGAATATTCCTTACATGGAGTATAAGGGGTGTGCGCGTGTATATACAATGTATAGATCAAGGAAAAATTCTACAGGAAAATATAGAGGGTCACTAAAATCCAACAAATCTGGATAAATGATTATCCCTTTTTTCCTGGATATTTTTTTTTTGAATAAATGTATGCAACAGCTGTTTTTTTTCCCCTATTATGAAGCATCAGCTTCGGCTGATGTGTCTTTGTGATCAAGCTCATGCATGGATGTTCCCTGCGAAACCACTGAAATTCCAGCAACACGGACTCTAGAACACTCTGAAAAAAAATAGGTATCTATATAAATTGATACAGACACATTCTGTGTTAATTTGCGTTGACATTTTTCATGTCACATTTGGTTATATACGCACATTGTTATGTCTATGTACTATTAACCACTTGGTCACTTGGTCGGACATCGCAGGAATTGTTGGGATGGGGCCAGTTTTCTTCCGCAATTCAGCGGTTCGCCGAGGAACCCACGAAGACACAAAGTAGCAATATGTACCAATCGTTTCATAGGCAAACGATGGCAAAAGTACATAATCTTTTGGTAGTACATGAATTGTTAGGCCTTCTTCAGGATATGCAACAAGGCATAACAAGGCGAAGTTACGCTTCTTCAGAATTGGGATGCTCAACTTGTGACGTCTGGGATGCGATGCGACAGAACTCTCAACTCCAAAGCCTATCTGGCGAAATGGGGTGAGAGTCGGGGCTGTGTCCAGATCTGGGACCGTGTTTTCGACTGGGGGCCCATGGTGAATTGTTTTGTTTTATTGGCGGAAATGGCCATATTGGTTGATGATCTTTTTAGTCAACCCAGGACATTTTGATGATTTGTCCAAGAAATATGGTAAATCCATGGGGTATCCCCTATTGCGAGACACCGTTTGGAGCAGACCTCGGCAATCTTCAGTGTTTTATAGCGTTTATAGCGTATTTATCTTCAGTTTTCAAGCTGGTGATACAGCACCAGCAGGCTGAAACACTTGCTGCTGCATGTGAGTGTCAAAAAGGTTGAAACTACCCATCAGCTCATCTGTGTAGACGTACATGTATAATGTATAATATATAATAATATATATATACAAACATAGTCACATGTTGCATTGTATTCATTTATTGCTGTCTATGATCCCTTTATCAAAAGGGCAGCCTGCACTGTTCGACTGGTTCCGACATCAACATGCACTCCTTGCAATAGTTCGACATAGAAAGGCTGTCAGTTGCCATGCAAAGAGACATTGTTTTTCAGTTCACCTGCAAGACTCGCGTATGCTATTCTTTTGCAGGTGGAAAGCACTGGCCAGATTTGATAGAACAACCCATCGTTACTGCGAGAAACCTTGGATTCCATACTTGGGATTTCCGGAAAGTCATGCTATGGTATCTTTGAAGCTTAGCATCATTGTTTCCCATTTTTCTTGGTTTATCTGTAAACCAATACTAAACACTCCCAACATGGTGACAGGAATCCAGGGAGACGGTCCAAGGCGCCCACGGCTGGCTTTTTTTCATCCCATGAAATTCCAATTTCAGGACGGCTACAGCATGTTTAACCCCCATTTTACATGGTCAACATGGTCAACATGGTCAACACCACCATCAAAAGTGTTCAATTGCTAACTAGACTAGTGTGAACATCATTGTGAATGGATCCATAGCATGACTACCCTCTGGTAATCAAGTGCGCAGGGGAAAATCTTCATTAAAAAAAAAATGTTTTGCTTCATGTCCCAGCGCTATAAAAACCTTCAAACCAAACACTTCGGGGCTTCCCAGCCATGGCAATGATGACACCTCCAGAGAAAGTTAGTTTGATCATGTTCTCAGGAGATCTTACTAAAAATCCCCATATTTTCCCAGCAAACCTGTACAGTCCTGGTCAACACCCAAAAAAAGTGGTGAATTTTACTTTCCCTGGTGATCGTATGTCCGAAAAATTGCCCATGAATTTTTTATGGGTGAACTACTCTCTGGTAAACTAACATAGCTATGAAAATCACATCACATCGCCATGTTTAAGTAGGCCAATCATCGAACCAAATTGAAGCATGCTCATCCATTTTCCATAGCACACTGTTTAGTTTGCTGGAGGGTAAGTGGAGGTTTCCTGAAATGGGGGTACAGTCCAAATCATCCATTTCTAGATGGATTTTCCATGAAATAAACATTTATAAACCATCCAGCAATGGGGTACCCCCATAAATGGCAAATCCCCGAGATCCCCCCCGTATTCACCAGCGCTGAGGCCTTGTTGGGTTTCGAACTTGGAAGCGATGGCCATGGAGCGGTTGTGGAGGGAGGGCTTGTTGGCGCCGGCCATGGCTGCCATGGGTGATTTCATGGGAAGCCATCCATTTCATGGGAATTGTGAGTTCTGTGAGATAACAACCAATCAACATCAACCAACAATAGATGATCTTTGGCGCAATGAAGTGGTGGTTGAATCAAGAAAGCCGTTCGTGAAACGTTGGATACCGGACCTACCGGATAGTCCCATGATGTTTAGATCCCCCTGGATGATCAGGGCCCCCATTCATTCCAGAGCTGGTGGACACGGAGCCCCCAATTTATGACCAATTGAATAGGACAAAACTTGTGGAAAAATGATTAGAAACCAGCAACATTTTGGGTCCCCTATTTTCCGGCAAAGACAAATTTTGAAATATGTGTTAACTCCCAAGTCAGAAGCCTAAAGTTTTTGCTACACATGTCATGGGGGGTTGAGAAAACCTGTTATTTTGTTTGAGAGGACCTATTATATAATATATAGAGGTTGATGATCCTGTGGACCATGGGTTGTTTTGTGAAAATCGAACGCCATAAGCACAAAACAGCTCGTCACGGATTTGCTGTGGTTTCTCCAGGTATGTGAATATGTCTCGAAATGATCGACAACCATTCTTTCCGGATGGTTCAACATCAAAAAATGATTGTGATTTCACTATATATACATATATATATATAGTAAGCTCCAAAAAGATAAAACTGCTAAAACATGACACCAGTTGAGTATGCAGGAGTTTCTATAGTTCTTTCTTTTGAAGCTTACCATTCCATCTTTTTAAGGTTATCTATATCCCAGATGCTCCATGTATGGAATATGTTTCTATTGCAGACACAACAGCCCAAATGTAGGCAAATATTCATTACATTCAGCATATATGGGTATATCAAAATCTACCATGACTCACCAATCGGTTCGTAAAGGAGCCTGCCACTTGGGTGTGAACGCGGAGAACGAGTCGTCCTTCCAAGTTGGTGCCAGTCAGGGAGCCCATTGGTAAACTTGGCGGTTGTCATGGTTCATTGGCTGACCTCATCAGAAATACCCCCTGGTAAACTGACATGTAACATCATGTAACATAACTATGGACAATCACAATTTTTAATGGGTAAATCAACGAACATTCAATTTCAATATATATATATATACATACATATGCTTAATTACCAGAGGGTAAATTCAATGATCTTACCAGCTATTTACCTGAAAGGTAAGGCTCCTGCATATATGTCTTCCATTGTCTTCCTTTATGTTGGTCTCACACCTGACCCGGCCGAATGCGTACTTAAGCACACTGCAGGTATGTGTACAAGATAAGGAGGTTTCCTAAAATGTGGGTACCCAAAAATCATCCAAATCATTAGACTATTTTCGTATTATCATAGCCCATGGTTTTGGGTATACACCATTTTAAGAGACCCCAATATTGCTAACCTTTTTATTCCTTTGCCTGGCTGATACTCAAATTTGAAGGCCCTAGGAACCACTATTGCAGGCCATTGTTAGGGTTGTAAATCATTACATTATTATGTGCTTAAGATGTAGCTAGTTATGATTCCATTGTGGGTACTCAATGATATGCAATTTGGTGTTCACTGGGTACAGTCTTGGGTCACAATTGGGTACTTAGTAACTTAGTGATATTTAGTAATGTCAAGTATCCTTTGGGGATTTAACATAGCTATTGAACATGGCCCATTTATAGTTGATTTACCCAATAAAGATGGTGATTTTCCATAGCTATGTCATGTTTGAACCTCATCCCCGATCTTGGATGGTCATGCCATTCCCCGTGTGATGAGGCAAGAGCGCCCAGTCGGCCAAGTACGGCAAACTGACCATGAATGGCTCCTCGGTTGCATCGCGACACTGCTCAGCTGATGTGCAACGCAGAAGTGAGATGAACGAAGGGTGATCAACCAATAGCATACTTTGGCCATGCAACATGTGGGATTCAACCATATTCAACCATAATGACATCTGCATTACCATAATTACAACTCATTAATATGATCCTTAATCACAGAATGATTCTGTTATTAAGGATCATATTAATTATAGATGTAATTATGATCCACATTAAGGTTATCTCATTACCATTTGTTAATAGCAACATTTTGGTTGAATTTCAATCATCCCCTCAACTGGGACTTGTTGATTGGCAGGCTTTCCCACGTCGGATGGACCCATCGAATCATCGAATCGCAGATTTCAGAAGCGAAATGATGAAACCTTTGGGAAACCATAGTTTTATACTGGTACAACTATAAAAACCATTGGGAAACCATTGGAAAACCATGTATATTGGGAAACCATGTGTTTTATAGGTGGTTCAACCCACCAGATACACAGTTTGGATCATCCACATCTGGATGCTGTTTTTCAACCGTGAAAAGCCCATGGTTTCCGGCTGGGATTCTCCCAAATCCAACATCCAATGAGCTTCGCCTTTGGTCTCTGCGTCAGGCAAAGAAGTCTTTCGATTTGCCACGAGCCGAGTGCCACAGGTAGCGAAATTCTCATGGCGGCCATGGCATGGAGGTTAAAAACGCTGGCAAAATCATGAGAAAAATATGGGATCATCATGATAAATAGCTGGTTGGTGGTTTGGAACATGGCTTTTATGACCTTCCATAGTATTGGGAATAATCATCCAAACTGACTTTCATATTTTTCAGAGGGGTTGAAACCACCAACCAGTTTTTAGATAATGGGACAATAGTTGGGAAAATCATGAGAACTGAAGGTTAAATGGAGGTTTATAGACCTACTATGGGACAATCCCACTATAAATGGAGGCTGAAATGCTGGGAAAATCATCTATAACCCGGAGGTTCCCAGCTGGGAAAATATCCTATAAATGGAGGTGTGTATTGGAAAATAATCGAGATAAATGAGAGTTTTCCAACATGTTTGATTGCCAGAGAGAGTGTTATACAATGATTTTGAATAAGTGCAAACGTGTTCATTTGTAGCTGGGATGATTGCACCAAATGTCTATATAGTCTAGTCTTTATAGTCTTTAGTTTTTAAAGCCAAATAATGAACAGCAGCAAACTTTGAGGGCAACCGTAGAGATGAGCAATCAAACGTGATGGGTGGTGATATGATTAGACATGTTTAAATGCTGTATGATTGAATACGTTTGTATAAATGTGTAAACGCTAGGTCATGTTTATTCAGAAGCATTGCTGCATGACCAGTTTTAGCGGATCCGCTCTACATTAATCGAAGCATCCCTTAATTGGCCAGATTGGGGATGATCTAAAATCCAGCCGCCGGAGGTCGACTACTTGGAATGATTAAAATAACAGTCGAGTAACTCAAACATGATATTACTAAACTGTCTTAATAATTGTTGACTGGCACAGTTTAGTTGCTAAACTAACTCAAGTGGTTGACTTCTCGTCACTGTTAACTAAACCGTTTCATTGCTAGGCAAAACTACTATTAAACTATAATATGGCGACCCCCCCCAGTTCTGTTTGTTGGTTTATCAAGCCCTTCTACCAGTTCGATGTATCATTGATAAACCAGACAATTGTTCTGCTTATGTTTCTTGACCAACCTCGCATTAGCTACTACCCTCTGGTAAACTAACATAACTATGGAAAATCACCATTGGACCATTTTCAATGGGTAAATCCACTATAAATGGCCATTTTCAATAGCTATGTTAGTTTACCAGAGGGTATTCATGGCTCATCCTATGATATTGGTGCACGTTCATTTTTTTAATCTGGACAAATAAAACATTACGTCACATCGTGATGCCACTGGAATGGTGGTGAGAATTGCAGGGGAAAAAATCCGAGTGAGCTTATTTACTCTTGGCTAGCGGCTATTTTCAGGTTAGTGAACTATAGTTCTGTAGTTCTATTACGTAAGTTCTATTAATCCATATTAATCCATGTTAATCCACATGAATCCACCACCATGTTCCCATGGATTGTCCCCATGTCCCACAGACGATCCCCCGCGCCAGACCCTGTCGAAGTTGCTGGAGCGACACCAGATCGCCCCAGAGGAGGTCAGATTACAGCTGGGATTTTTCAAGTATCTTCAAGTACAAGAATTGGGATGTTTATTTTTGATTTAAAAACATGTTCATTTTATTTGTATATCAAATTATATTATATTATATTTATATTGTATTATATTATATTATATTTATATTTATATTTATAGTTATATTATATTGTATTATATTATATTATATTTTATTATATTTTATTATATTATATTTTATTTTATTATATATTATATTATATTTATATCATATTATATTAGTTTAAATTATATTATATTATATTTTATATATTATATTATATACATTATATATTATATATTATATTATATATATTATATTATATTTATATCATATTATATTATATTATATTGTATTATGTTATATTGTATTATGTTATATTGTATTATATTATAGTATATCGTATTATAATATAATCCAATATAATATAATATTATATTATATTATATGTATATATTATTATACACATAATATAGTCAATTCCAACCAAGCAGTCGCTGGGCAGTCGCAACCAATGGCACAGCTCCAGCTGCCGGTTTTTTCGGCAGGTCGATTGGCTATTGCTCCATCAGGCGGAACATGTGTCGATGGGTTGTATGGCAGGTTGACCCACTACGGCCATGGCAAACCCATGGTGATCAGAGCTCCAGGGTGCAAATGTGTCTGTAGCAAGCGATTACTGCAACGCCACATATCCTGGGTCCTAACTGGCCAAGTTTCAAGCTATACGAAGCATTTGGTGGAGTTATTCCATCTATAACTGGGGAAAGTATGGGAAAATCACATATCCACAAACACTACCCAGATGCTTCATGTGGGGGTTTCCTACAGGGGTACCCCCAGATGATCCATTTTACTTTCGGATGTTCCATGAAATAAACCATCCAGCTTTTGGGGTACCCCCATTTAAGGAAACCACCATGTATGGAATATCTTAAAATTTACATATATGGAAAGCCTTACATTCTATAACTGAAGTATTACATACAAACACTGCCCAGATGCTTCATGCATGGAATATGTACTTGCAACCCAAGTTGTAGCCCGAATGTAGGTCTTTGACGGGCTCCATCGTGGCAGGCCAATCGGCGCATCATGGATTCGGCGGCCAAGCGCTTGGGCATGCCGCAGGAGGGTCCTCCACATCATTTGTGCAAAAATGGCTGAAGTACCAAGCATCTAAATTCAAGAGATGATCGGGATTTACCATAAAAATAGATCAACATATATGACAATACATGAAACTGGTCGGATGAAACTAGGACAGAGGATGACGTAGTGAGAGGATGACGTAGTGGGGAAAACAATGCGGATATATTTATATGATAATGACTCAATGACACTCAATGGATGATTTTGAGGGAAAGCTGAAACCGGAAACAATGGTTTAAGATGGTTTAAGCCTCAATAATGTAAAGGTAAACTCCGTGGATTTTTCCATTCGGAACCCAGAAATCTGGGAAGATCTGGAACAGCCATGGTCCAAAGTTGGGGAATAATTGCCCTGCAGAATGGTTTTCAATGGTTCTTAATCCACGAATAGGTTGTTTATGTTTGTTTATGTTTGTTTCTTGATGCTTCTTGAAGTCTACAACTTTGTCATCCTGGCTTCCTGTTTCGATGGTCTTTCCATGTTTTTCCTACCTGGAATGTCCCATGCAGCTCGAACAATTCTGGCGGGAGTTTCTATAGTTGTGCACTGTTTAAACAAACCTCCGTTTTGCTGTCCGAACCAAGCTGAAATCTTAAAGCCAATTTGTGAAGTCCGAAGAAACTTATATCTTCTCTTGCTTTAGCCGCCATTTCATGCCATTTCTAGTTTCCATTTATAGATGATGTTCCCATTAAACCCTCCATGTAGGATTTTCAAGCCAGCCACGTTTGATGACACCAGAGGCTAAATAGGCTAAATCCCATTTCTTGTTGATTGAACACTCTTTTTTACCCCCCAGGCGGTGTTGTGGAAAATGCAAATCGTTGGCAACCATTTTGGGAAAGCCGTAAATTACTTTACTTCGTGTGATCCCCACCATGACATTTATACATTTTCTTACTGGCAAATCTTCTGGCATTCTATCTGACATATCTTCTGACATTCTATTTGGCATTCTATCTGGCATATCTTCTGGCATATGATCTGGCATATCTTCTGGCATATCTTCTGGCATTCTATCTGGCAAATCTTCTGCCATTCTATCTGGCATATCTTCTGGCACTCTATCTGACATATCTTCTGGCATTCATTCTGGCATATCTTCTGGCATCTGGGCATTCTATCTACATATCTTCTGGCATATATTCTGACATATCTTCTGGCATATCTTTGGCATGGCATATCTGGCATATCTTCTGGCATAATTCTATCTGGCAAATCTTCTGGCATCTATCTGGCATATCTTCTGGCATATTATCTGGCATTCTATCTGGCATATCTTCTGGCATATATTCTGACATATCTTCTGGCATTCTATCTGGTCTTCTGGCATATCTTCTGACATTCTTTCTGACATTCTTTCTAACTTTCTTCTGCACATTCTTTGTCCCATATCTTCCTACATGAGGTCCGGCAGGGAACACTTGGCATGGATACCCGCGGTTGAGGTCCGGCAGGGAACACTTGGCATGGATACTCGCGGTTGAGGTCCGGCAGGGAACACTGGGCGTGGATGGTCGTGGTTGAGGTCCGGCAGGGACCACTGGGCGTGGATGGCCGTGGTTGAGGTCCGGCAGGGAACACTGGGCGTGGATGGTCGTGGTTGAGGTCCGGCAGGGAACACTGGGCGTGGATGGTCGTGGTTGAGGTCCGGCAGCGAACACTGTGGATCGCGGGTCGCAGTTGGACGAGGACGACGAGGACGACGAGGACGACGAGGACGACGAGGACGGACGACAAGGAGGACGAGGAGGAGGCAGGAGGCATGACGAGGCAGGAGGCGGCAGGAAGCGGCAGGAGGAGGAGGAGGCAACTGACATAAAATCTAACAACCCTCACCTGGCAGGTGGGGAAAAATCAATACCATATAGTATTTATCAATTGACTACCTCCCTATATGTTTAGATGTTCAAACATACTTTTAACCCCTCACTTGCTTGCAGGTAAAAACAGCTATTACTCTTTGTTGCTGCGAATCGCCCAATGAAAAAACCATGGCGGCCACAGTGGTCGGCCATGGGCCATTTTGTTTACCGCGCAGATGATGGCAGGAGAAGATCATTTGCAACTTAGACGAGTACGGCAACACCTCTGCAGCATCCATACCACTGGCCCTCGATGAGGAGCCCGATGTTTTTTTGTTGGGATGGGATATCCATGGGATAGGCTAGTGAATGAGGATAAGTTGTTTGGGCTATGTGTATGTGTATTTGTTTTTGTTAGAAATGATAGACTTAGAGCAGACACGAAATTTCTAGGAAATCCAGGTCACCAATGGAAAGCAGACATGTTTAAAACCATGCAACAAAAATAATACGCAGTAGCCCCCAAGATGTAGTTGGGATTGAAGCCCAACCTCTCAAAATTCACTCAAAAAACAGAACTTTCCTATCTACAGTACTTAAACATACTTAAACTCTAGATACATACATACATACATACATACGTACGTACGTACGTACGTACATACATACATACATACATACATAATATATATATATACATATATATATAATTAAGATAACAATATATGTATATATTATATTATATTATATTTTTTAAAATACATCAGATGGTGAAGTGCCAGAAATCTCAGCTCACTCCCTTTTTTTTATCTCCTCCTTCAGTAAGTTCCCCCCGGGAGGCTATGCGTGATGGCCGCGTGAAGAAGGGGGACCTCTTAGCCTGTTGCGGTTTTGGTGCTGGGCTCACCTGGGGAGGTGCCGTGCCGTGGTGTCGTGGTGGTGCCGACGGGGGAGATGCTGTTTGAGCGGATCTTTTACGAGAACACTGGTGTAACACTAGGATAATATAGGGGATATAAATATATAATATAGGATAATATAGGATAATATGGGACATAGATGATATATGATGATATAATATCCTATAAAGTTAGGATCATATAGGATGATAGGTAGGATAATATAGGATAGGATAATATATAGGATGATAGATAGGATGATATGGGACACTGTAGGTAATATCGGATAATACGGGTAATAGGGGATAATATGGTATATGCGTATCCAAAGTCTGTGAGAATTCAGTCATCCACCAGTTGAGAATGGGTTTGGCAGGGAACACCATCTTGGCAGATGACGGCATGAGTCAAGATCGCCGTGGTTGCATGGTTCAAGCTCCGCATTGTCCAACACAACAGAAGCTGAGGATACAGGATACAGTCACCTGCACTCAGCATGACAACATACGGATCTAGAAGGCTACTAGAAGGGATTGAATATGGGACTCTGTGAGATGCATATACTGTGTGTACATAAATCCTGCTGTCAACTACAGAGGAACAGTCCGGGTATTGTCAGGTCTTCAAGTATTTTGGCCGGATGCATCCGTATGTGTTTTTACCATTTTTTACAATTTTTAATGTGTGTTGTACTTGAAGATCACAGACATAATGTGTGTTGCACATCTTTTGCCACAGACGTGCCACTGTGATTTTTCCGCCATGCCGTCACCGAAAGTGCTGGACATCCCACGAGGCCGCCTTGGGGAATCATGAAAATCGTCCAAAGATGAGGAGTTAACGATGATGCAACATACACATATTCATTCTATATCATTCATGAAATATTATGGATATATTTACCAAATGGATTAATTATTTTAGATAGTCACAATCAAATATCCACCATATTTATCCATATTTAAGATCTTTGATGATGATTTTAATTTTGTTATCATTCATGTTCATCAGTCAGATAGTCACCAATCCAAATGACCAAGATGGGGATTGAATACTGATGTTTTTTTCTTTTTTAAAGATACTATTAGGTATGAAATCGACGAGGATTTGAAGCTGGCCATTTTTTCTGTTGTCCGTGGAAGCTGAATGAAGCTGGCTATTTGATTTCAACTTTCATTACAATGTACCATGAATTCTATATGTACTATATAATACTATATATATACAATTATCATGTGTAATTATAATTATGATATATATATATAATATATACATATATTATTATTATTATCTGAAGTTTCTGCCTGGAATAATGATGTGCTCTAATGTTTGGAAATCGGATCCACAGTTTACAACTACCAATCCAGGCTCACCATGGGCCTTGCCCATTCTACTGGGCGTCTCGGCCATGCTGGTCTTCATCTTCCCCGAACGTCTGGGCCACGGAGAACAGCAAGAACGGTGATGGGTGGTGGACCGTGACTGTCTTGATCTTTAGTCCTTTAAGTATTCACTTCAAGAACTACATAGAATTAATTCGAAATCGTTGATGTGGTTGTACATGTGTTTAAATCAAATTCGGAAATCTTACAATAATAGGTATTCTGAACACTGGTGTCGTTAAAGTCTTGTGAAGCGGATGAGGTTCTGGAAGTGTGTGGTTGGATGCCACCTGAAGTACCATCCCTTTGCAGTGATGCTATGTGCTGTCGTGAAAATAATGGATGTGTTCCCATAAAAGGGGATGGTTATCAATTGTGAGGAAACCCTAATGATGGTGTGATAACCATAATCCATGTTCCATGTTTTGACAGTGGCATAGGTGTTCTCGAGAGGGTAGAAAAGTCAATCACCATGAGCATAGGGACATGTATGTTTCCTTAGTTGTCCCTTTTTTCCGGGACCCGTCCCATCAATGCATCCCCAAAAAAGGTCTTCGGGTCACCAGCTTTGGCTCAAACCGGGGGCCGGCCGCCTGAGAAACGAACAATCGCCCCGGAGGATGAGGGTTGGTGAGACCTTGCTGCTGGTAGCTGCGGTCGCCATTTATGGCGGCCATGCCTTTACCGGAGGTGTTTTGAATCGCCGCAGCGAAACGGTCCCCAGCACAGGAACCCCAGTCTCATCGCAGTCGACGCTTGGATGCAACCAATGACCGAATCTCTGAGGTCATTGGGCACTGATTTCTTGACCCATACTCGAAGCCATTTTGGGAATCTGCGGATGTGGAGAACTGAAAAAAGTTGTGCGGACCTGTTTCATCCTTTGGGGTACCTCAAACCACTTGAAATCACTTGAATGAAACCTGGCTTTGTTGGTTGTCTCCTTCACAAAATTTCCAGTGAATCGAATCCAGTATATAATGTATATATTCAATTGACTGATGTAGAACATAATAAGACTAGTAATAGTAAGAACTAGTAGAGTAATAACAACAATGACAACAATACGAAGTAATTATGATGATGATGGTGATGATGATGATGGTGGTGGTGGTGATGATGATAACATATCTACATAGTCAATACATGCTACACAATGTATACTAAATATGTAACAGTATACAATGAAGTACATGTTCTACACCGTTATCAATCTATTTTCTGTAGAGCAGAAAAAAGGAGTTACTGTACATCCCAATTTAGATTGTTTGCAACACCACTGTTATACCCATATTATATATGTACACATACATACATACATATCATACATATCTATTGATTATGCATTTGTCAAATCCCTATTTGTCAAGTGTTCCTGAATATTGAAAATCTTAACGATTTCCAAACTCTACCACCATGTTTTATAGCCAATCAATCCATTATTCATTCGTTAATTACCTATTTATCAAGACCGAAACAACTAATAGTGCAATGAAGAATTGATACATCATTGATATCAATTGGTGTGTTAGATGTTTATTATATGACAGATGTTTACTGTTTGCCAAACATGTTTGATATCATATGATAGATGTTGTTCATTGGTATCACACTACTGGCATCTTCTTTTACCCTCTGGTAAACTAACATAACTATGGAAAATCACCATTTTTTATGGCTAAATCCACTATAATCACCATTTTCAACAGCTATTTTGACATAACCAGAGGCTAACCCACGAAAACCTCAGGACCGAAACGCCCGGTTTCAGCTCGGCCGGCGCCACCGGTGCCGGCACCGTGGGCACCGTGGCCCTGGCCGCGCTGGGTGCCCTCAGCGCCGCGGCAGCGCGGAGCCGACGGGTCACGTCGCTGGTGAGCCGAGCTGCTGAACGACGGGTGGTGGCCTCTTGGTGTGAAGTGTGAAGGATGTGATGGGCCCCCAGTTATAGGGATAATATTTTAACCCATAGTTATGCCATAAACCATATATTAATAATATGGTTTATGGCATAACTATGGGTTAACCATAGGATTTTTTCATGGTGATTAATAGGGTTTTAGCCCATATAAGCCATGGTTTAATGGGAATTAATGGGATTTTCACCCATATCATCCACGGTTTAATGGGAACTAATGTGGGTAAAGCAATGTCCTAAACCACCCATTTGGGAATGGTTTATACCACCTACAAAAATGGTGATTTGGGGGATGGTTCCCAGGTATAGATAGCGATAGGGGTATACCCAATAAAACCATAAGAAACCTTAGGGGTTGATTGAATTTTCATTCGGCTTATGAAACAGGTGAAGGGATATAATTCGCCAATAATAAGATAGAATCAGCCTGTATTGGGGATGGTTTATGGCATTGGGTTTACCGGAATATAACTAACAAAGCCATGGGCAGAATGGGGGATTTAACCCAAACACATCAATGCAATCATGTACGTTTTCCTGGAGAAGTCGACAACTGGAGGATTATCTCACATTTTTCACAACCGGTTGGTAAGTGGGTGATAACCCAGTTTTAACATGATTTAAATTCCATATGCTTCATGTAAGGAATATCTATCTACATGTGGGTTCCTAACGTGGCTTCCTATGTACGAATCTTCCGCATCTGGAAATGGGATCACCGGGGGCTGAGGATCACCGGAGAGCCCATTATAGATACAGCTAGCGTAAACCCAACAGTGAGCTATATGGCTATGGATCAATACCTATGAAAATACCATTTTTAGGGGAATGAACATCCATTTTAACCCAGCGAAATTTTGATGTGAACAGAAGGGGTACTATTGGATCTATTGGTTTTGACCCATCCCCAGTGACTTTTTTTCGTAACATAAATCAACTCTGCCAACTATGAAACACCTTGGAACAGCCTTGGAACGGTGGCTGAATCACAATCCCTTGCTGGTTGAAACAGCCGATGTTTGTAGCCCACTGGGATGATCCAAATTGAGCCTATGCCATTACGTTGATATTCAAAAGGATTTGCTAGTATTGTTGTCATTTGCATAAAGGCCTTGGGAACATGTATGAACATGTATGAACATGTATAACATAGGTATCTAAAAGATTCTAAAAGTAGGTTAAAAACAAACAACAACCATGGTAAAACATGCTACCACAGTAGCTGGAATCTGCTTTCACTGGCCCTTCCCTAGAGGTGACCGGCATGGGCATCACCAGCTGCCTTGGAAACACCCTCGATGACGTCGCGGACAATTTGAAAAATGGTTTCTGGGATGCACCGGTGCCGAAACACCATGGGGGGAAACCCAAAGTCATGGGGGTACCCCAATAGCTGGTTGGTTGGTTTATGGTTGGTTTATTGGTGTGGTTTATTGGGGCTTCCAGCTATTGGAATAATTGGATATAATTGGAATACCAGACCATGGAAAATTAAGTCATGGTTGGTTTATTTCATGAAATCCCAATCTAAAATGGATGGTATGGGGTACCCCCCATGACTGAGAAAACACCTCCAGATGGAAACCACCACATTTCTTGGGGTAGAACACTGGGGCCACTGGGGACCCAGGGGTGAAAAGAGACCCCAAAGTGAAACGATCGATATGCAAAAAGGAGGGTTTAGGGTGACATTTGTTGGCAACGCATGGAAATAGAGCATCATTGTCATCTGGTTGGTGGTTTGGAACATGGCTTTTATTTTTCCGTATATTGGGAATGTCATCATCCCAACTGACGAACTCATATTTTTCAGAGGGGTGGCTCAACCACCAACCAGTCATCCATTGATACATGCTGGAAAAGTTCAAAGTGATGTCGTGCATTTTCCAGGCCGCGGATTGTTTCCCTTTTGGTCCTTTTGTAATTTAACATAGCGAACTGGGACATGGCCATTGATAATTGATTTATTTATAGAACATATGGCCTTAAATGGTACAGTACCTCCATTTTGGGATCCTGAAATTCCCATTGACCATGATTTACCTGTTGAAAATGGTGCTTTTCCATAGCGATGTTAGCTTACCAGAGGGTAAGTAGCAAAAAAGACCACTCAATTGTGACAGCTCACCAGGCTGATCCAGGCCATAGGTGGTGCCCCCGTAGTTTGCAAAAATGATTTATATCCTAAAACTGCTATAGCACATATTTTCACTGGGCTTTATTCTGGTAGAATGTGGTAGATATCATATCTATTGAATATGGTAGTTATATACTTCATGCGTTTATAAACCAATGCATAACCGTTATTGCTCGGGCCCATTACCCCAATTGTAGCCCTCACCTTCAGAGATAAGACCAGAATGAATCCAGATGTCATGCTCGCCATGAGCGCTCAGGCAATTCTGGCATTACTTTTTCCGAAGAGCACCTTGGCAAATCATTGTCTTGCTGACGTAGTACTGACGTAGGCGCTGATAAAACTCCGCAAAGACAAATGCGATGTTTTTTTTCGGACAGCCTTGAATGTGTTCATAAATCATTCACAATTTACCAAACCGTAGAAGTTAGGGCACACTTGCTTCAATTTTCTTGACTGACTTTCACAGAGCCTTTTGCTCCCAGATGGAGGAAGGAGGTTCACCTTTCCCAGAGATTGAAGGACAGTTCACAGCAACCCCCAAAGTGTTTGGATCTTAACAACCTTTTCAATAGGCATGAGCTAGGTGACTAGGTGGCAGTTTCATTGTTGTATATATAATTACTATATATACACCGAGTATATATATATATATACATATATATATATACTGAGTGCACATATATGTATAATTACATATATATACATTTGTTTGTATTTATACATCCATCCTATTTCTGATGATGATCTAGCATCTCCAGTGATTTGTTTCTGTTGGAACATGGGTTGGACCAGCCAGTGGCTTTCCTAGGTATGAGAAGCTGGGCATCAAGAGCAACGTGCGCGGCAGACCCAACTTGACACCAGCAGAGATCAAGGAGGGTGGCGATTTGCAGACAGTTTTCAATGGCTTGAAAAGGTGGGGCTCATCCCACCATATCCCACCTAATTAGTAGGTTTTATAGGTTGTAACCCTAGTTGTAAGTGGATAAACCCTACTTATCCCACATATGAGATAGAACCTATTGAGTAAGTGCGATGACCAAGTAGGCACGGGTGAAAATCCTGGTATCCTGATGAGCCCAAGATAGCTAGAAACATGGGCTTGGGATGATGGGACCATGAATGGGCACTGATGCTGATCAATGGGGCGATGAATTTCCGCTAATCAGTATGTTCAACAGAGTACCATGGTTTTGACTCATAGCCACATGGCTACTGATAATTTCACTCAAGTCGGCTTCTAAATCCATTCATTTGTTTAAAGAAAAACATTGTTGATCAGTTGATCATGTTTAATTACGCGGTTTCTTCTCAATACTCAATACTGTAAAAAAGCAACCATTCAGCTTCCCATTGTTCTGTCTTGCTTTGAAACCCCAATTTCTGTTGAAACTTCAAAGACCGCTCCGCGGCAGGAACTGATTCCCCGAAAGACCTTGCGCTTCATGGGCCCCAATGCCCAATTCGCCTACATCGCCTTGGATCGTGCCATCCAGGTGGGTTTCTTGATGTTTCTTGGATATCATCAATGGTAATTTCAGGATCCTAAAATGGAGGTACCTACCATATATAAGGCCTATATAAGGGCTATGTAAGGGGATATCCCCCCAAAATATGGCCAGAAATATGGTACTAACGTACCTCCATAAATTGGATCCTTTTTTATTCCCATTGATATCATGATAGAAAACATCATAGCTCTATAAAAACATCATACAATCATAGAAACCATTTGGAGTTTCCCCAAAGTCGGCCTGGAGATGTCCGCAGGATGCCGGCCTGAAGCCGGAAGACTATGAGAACAACGAGCGATGTGCCTCCATCCTGGGTCAAGGTGGCATCGGTGGCATCATGGTATGGTTGGTGAAGTGGATTAGGATGGGATTTGGCTAAATCTGGATTCATACTCCATTTTTATGGTGGCAAAGTTGGTCCAAAAAAATGATGATCTTCCAGGTTGGAAAGTGAATACTTGATGGCTTCTCAGCAAAAAAAGGGATGGAATCGCGCGGACCGCCTCAGGTGGTTAGTTGACGTCAGAATCCCACGTCCTAGTGTGTGTGTGTGTGTTGGTGTTGACAAGGAAATGATTCAAAATAAGATAATGGGTCTATAATGAATCTTTACCAGAAAAATAGACCCATTAAAGATTATGATTCAATTACCAGAAAAAAGGGGTCTTTAATGGGTCTATTGACAGTCCATTGCTCTACTGCTCTACCCCATGGGTCGCCAGGCGACCCTTGGCCATGTCGGCACTTGTCGGGCAGGTGGCACCTCCATTCCGGATGTCACCGAATCCTGTGGCTATGTGGCGGATCAGGCGCGAGCTGGTGTCCAACCGGGTTTTATGTCTTACTTGGGAAGATACTGATGATGATGATGATGATAATGATGATGATGATGGCTCAAGATTCCAGGCTCAAGGCCAAGACAACGTAGGTGTGGAACCAGGTGGCCAAGGTTCAATGGGTATTTCAGGATCCTAACATGGAGGTACTGTACCAAAAAAGGGGCATATGTTCTATGGATATCACCTTACATAGGCCTTATATATGGTAGGTACCTCCATTTTAGGATCCTGAAATTCCCATTGAAAGGTGAAAGGCTCAGGTTGTAGGAAGGTTGGGACTTGTTTGGAACACATCCTTAACTTGAAATATCCTAAATTATGTTTTATGGATTGTACAGTATTCTGTTAAATCCAATCTTATGACTTCCACCAAATCACATCACATACCCATTAATTTCTTGTTTAAATTGCTACATAATTAGCTCATCTATTCATATATATATATATATACATATTCCATACCCATTGACAGATGACTTATGATTTTAAGTTGGCTATTTGGGAACAAAATATATGTGGGTATGTGTAACAATTATGATAATAATCTATAGATATTGTCGTCTATAGTAAACATCAATAACTTACATGACATAATCTATAAATGGCTGTCAAATTAGTTAGTTCATCTATTTATATATAATTATAATTATATTATTATCTCTATGTTAGGTATTCAATGGGTTATGTCCATTATACTTATACTTATACTTATACATACATACCTACATACATACATACATACATACATCCATACATCCATACATCCATACATCCATACATCCATACATCCATACATCCATACATCCATCCATCCATACATCCATACATCCATACATCCATACATCCATACATCCATACATCCATGCATGCATGCATGCATATAATATACATATCCATTATATATATATATACACATGTCAATTAAATATATATATAATATGAAATAACCATAGATGATGAAGTTGGCCTGTGCAGGTGAAAAGATGGCCCAGCAAAGTGGGCCCTTACCGCGTGACACGCACGATGGGCTCCACTGTCTCGGCTGTCCTGTCCTCGGCCTTCAAGTTGCAGGCTGGGGACGGGAAAAGAACCGGAAAAGAACCGGGAAAATGAAATCATGGATGTTAAATAACTAATTATACTATACTATGATGGAAACTGATGGAAACTGATGGAAGATGATGACTACACTTGTATGGATGGAATATGATTAATCTTATTGAATCTTCCGTTTTCGGGCTGGTTTGGGGGGTCTCCATCTTCGGACAGATAACGAGATTTCACCGATGGTTAAGCGGTGACACTGATGATAGTTGGGACCTGTGCTCCCTTTTGTTTGGCATGGAGTATGTCTTGTTTAAGTGTTGTTTTTTGATGGAGCATCTAGATGATTTTTTCAGGACCTCACTGCACTGCACTTAATGATGGCCTCATTCCAGGTTGATGAAGTATTGGTGAATTTATGGATTGTACTGGATATTGCTGGATGTTAATGATTGTCATAGATGTCCATGAAATTCATGGATAAACATCAAGCACCGTCGATGACTGGTCGTGTCACGTCGATGGCTCGCAGGGCCCATCCTTTTCCATTTCCTCAGCTTGTTCCACTGGTGCCCATTGCATCGGAGTTGCCATGGAGCAGATCCAGTTGAACAAGGTGCAGAGATTCTGCTTGGTGCTGTCAGATCACACATCTCTATATATATATATACATATGTATAATATTATATAACTATAATTAATTATATATATATAGACTGTACTATTTATATAACTTCAAAATTTGACATAGACATAGAAGCCCAGAATAATCTGTAAGATTTGCATCCAACATAGGTTGTGTTTCACCTCCAAACATGGACATGTTTGTTTTTTGTCATCGGTAGAATACAGCCGACCTCAACAGTTCCCAGTCAACAGATGGATTGTTTACGATAACTTAATGTGAAAAACTGTAAACGTATTTATCTGTATGAATGTAATCCATAATGTAAAGTTAAGTACTGCCCAAACTGTATGAAAGTATTTACTATACTTACTTGACTGTTTTTTGGTGCCACGCTTGCCTCCGATGCTTCAGATATCTCGCCTCAAATGGGTTTGTCTGAAAACGGGTACCCCAAAATCCCATGGTTTAGGATGATTTGTTCCCCCCCAAAAAAAAGCGGCCATTTTGGGGGTAAACAAAATTCTCAGACATATCCATGTCATCCATATCTCATAGATTTCTAAAAATCCCACTGTTTCATATTGGTTCATAGTATTTCATAGTTATAATGTTATATAATGTTATATAGATGCCAGTAAATTCCATTCAACTCCCATTAAGCCAGCTCTTTTTTCCCCAGCGAGTCGGAGGCAGATATGGCAGTGGCTGGAGCCGGTGAGAACGAATGCTGGCAGTCGCTGGCTGCAGAAAGTCCAGACCTGGTCCAGGCTGCCAGGTTTTCCATTAATATTCATGGGAATTATCATAAGAATTATCATATCAATTCCATTAAGAATTATCATATTATTAATATTAATAGCTCAATTTTCTTAAGAATTACCCTCTGGTTATGTCAAAATAGCTATTGAAAATGGCCATTTAGAGTTGATTTTCCCATTAAAATGGTGATTTTCCATAGTTATGTAAACGTTTACCAGAGGGTATCATATCAATGGGAATTTCAGGACCCTAAAATGGAGCCACTACGGTACCATTTGTTAGCTCATTTCTTGGGCATCCCAAACCCCTTTTTTTTTAGGTGCCTCGGCCATTGATCCATTTAAAAGGGCTGGGTGGATGACTGGCTGAGATGATGGCTGAATTGATTGCTGCTTGTCAATGGAAAAGAATGTGATTCTAAATAGTGCTTATTTACTTTTTTTAGCTCTTTTCCTACATGGTGTGTTTTCCGGACATGACTGGCTATTTATTTTGTCCAAAAAAAAAAGTGAATCTGGAGGATACTTCGATAAGGCTTCCAGTTGATAAATCCAACAGGTGGCTCTGCAGAATCCCTATGAAACAAGTTGAAACAGCCACTAGAGAAGCCAATTCAAAGCTGATTGCTGCGCTGAAACATGTTGTGATCTACCGTTTAAAATGGAACGATCTCCCCATGGTACATCCCCTGGTTCCGCTCGTTCCCAGGTTCACCGCAATGTTCGATTGTATGGGAGCCCTTTCGACCAAGCGCAACCACGAACCCACCAAGGTGTGTCCAGAATGTCGACGGCTGAACTCGTGATTTTTCACATCCACAGCATCCCAATCTCCATGGTTGCCCCACTGATTCCGAATGATGCTTCAATGAATTGATCAACATTTATCAACCCCCATAATGAATTGATCTATTCTTCATCTATTATGGTTGGTTATTAGATGCTTTCTCACGTTTTTGTACTATAAACATCTATAAACCAGTATCCAGAGGCATCCAGTTTTTTTTTAATTAGTCGTTTTCCCACTATTGTAAACCATGATAAACCAGAGGCGAATCTATTACCCATAGGATCCATGTATGGTATATATGCTAACATTGGGGGTATATTGATGGTAAATGTTACCATATATAGCATACATGGATCCTATGGGTTACCAACATCTAATTCTCAGAGTGGCCACCAGTCGCGCAGGCCTCCCGTGCCTTCGACAAAGATCGGGATGGCTTCGTCATTGCAGGCCGCTGCGGGTTGCGGTCTGCCGTGTCTGCCTGGGGGAAGGCCATGGTGTTTCGTAAGCCAAGGAAGGCTCCAAGTTATCATTGTTATTGTTAATTACTAATATATACTATATAACTATATAATAGATACTAATAGGGGGATTTATTAGTGATTTATTCAGCCTAACTAGTCATCATCATACATTGAGGAATGTAAACACCCACATAACTGGGCTCTTTTGGAGGTAAATGTAGATAAATAAATTCCATAGATGGAGCATCTGGGTTATTACATTATTGGTAATTGTGTTCAATGGGAAACAATCATATGTTTCCAGGGTGAACCCAATCTTAAAAGAAATGGTAAGACATACTCATGAATGCTCTATCAAGGCACCTGTACGTGGCGCTTTTATTTTGTCCAATGACGTTCATAATGTACTCGTACGTTTCAGATGGGTTGAAAGCTAAACCTCCGGCCAGTGCTTGTATGAATATTGTTGATCTGTTGAGTTTACAACATTTAAGTCTAAACTGGAGCAGTCATTACAATGTTCGCTACCTGGTGAGAAACTGGTTCATTCTTACAAGTTGGGATGATTTCATGTAGCCCAAAAGATAGAGAAGTGTTTCCAGAATGGTAGCTGATATTTACCATATATTTCCAAGTGTTCAACTGTTCGATCTATTTTGGGGTAACTGTATATATCTACAAAAAAATAATCATAATATATATATATATACATCTTTGTATACTCATATCATCTTATATACATGTCTTACATCAGCGACATCGCGTTGCGACTCAGGCGGTGGTGGCATGGTGGTCTTAGAGGAGCTGGAACACGCAAAGGCCCGTGGTGCCAGGCGCCACTGGAGGGATAGATCTGCGGCGTGATGAGGGATCGAAATCTCTATATACATCCATTATCCATTGAAAACATCTGGAGATAGCATGATATACCCAACTTCATTGGGGATTTATATATATATATATTTATAATTTATATATCATTTACAGAAGACATTTCTAGCGATATCGATCATCTGACAATGGATATGAATAAAATAACCAACTCGGATTCATGGGATCCAACTAACGAACAATCTTAGTTTAGTTAGAGAAACAAAAACTGTCATTGTCGCCGGGGGGACCGTTTTCTCCAGGGTTAGTGAATACTTCTCAGTAATTTCAGCTGGCTATAGCTGGAAAATAGCTGGTTTAGTTCATGATTATCCCATATACGTTCCAATTAATAATGTTAGGATTTTGTATTGCTATATTAAATTACCAAAGGATACAGAAGCCCAGAAATTAGGATTCAACTGACCCTTGTTGCTAACCAGGGCATTGTGCTCCTGGATTCTGTTGGCTAGCAACAGACATCATGAAGATACTCTTGCCGGACTTGTCCCAAACTTAGATTCGAAGACATGATCTAAAAATCTCTTAAACATGAATTGGACATATTTGGACCAGTTTTTTTTTCTGGTTTTTGCAGTTTGGTGCCCTATCCAACCATCATCCACCATTGGACCATTCCCCGTGTCGCCCCGTGTCGTCGATCCGCAGGATCTACGCCGAGCTCACGGGGTACGGTGCGAACTCCGATGGCTACGATGTCGTGGCACCCTCCGGCGTGGGGGGTGAGAAATGTCACTGGGTGATGACCAGGAAACCAGGTGTTCATTTGGTGTTTTCCATTATGAACACCTGGTGTTGGGGCATTTTCCAAAGGTGTTTTCCCCAGAAAATAGGTGTAAACTTCCTAAAAAAATCGGGGTACCATCCCCAGTGATCATCCAGCTATTTGTTGAGGCATTTTCCATGAAATAAACATTGATCAAAACAAGCATGACTAGGCTATTGGGGTAGCCCCATGACTTAGGAAACCTCCAAAAATGAGCAGTGTTCAAAACCCGTGGTGGATGATTATTACATGATGGTTATACTATCCCATACATTGTGGATTGTGAGAATCCATTATGGTAAATCATGTATTCTAATCTGCTTATTATGGTAAATCATTGTTAGAATCCATTATCTTACAAACTTAAAATCCTATTCACCAGCGATGAAGCAATCAGCATGAGGGAATGTCCCGCTAGCCATGCGAATCTCCAACAGTTGGGGTGCAAATTCTGTCAGCCGCTAGTCACCATCGCAACAGTTGGAAGGAGCACATTTTAAGCGCAGTACATATGGGGCTGAAAGATTCTGAAAGGTCCTGACAGTTGGAAGTAGCAGTCGTTTCCTTTCTGGAGTACTGGGGCTATGTTTTTGATCCGCATAAATGACATGAAAAAAGGCTGTGCGGCGCTTCCTCAATTTGAGGCATGAAGATCGCTTTGGCCATGGCAGATGAGATTGCAGGCGAGAAGCAGGCTGGGCACCTGGAAAGCTGGACATAGTAGTTACTGTAGTTGGACAAGTCCGTGTTTGCAGGCTTGAGGCAAGCAAAGTATTAATGAAGTTATGATTCAACCTTGGATTCAACGGGCGAAATTGCCGATCTGGTGAAGAAGAAGGGAACACACGCCCAAGCAAAATGGGAATAGCCCAAAACTACTTTGATACTATACCAACTACACAGCAATATCCAAAAGCAAGTTCTAGTATCCCTCACCATGGTATATCATCTGAGCAGACCTTGGTATCCAAGTTCTACCATCTTATGACTTATAATCAACTGGGATATCAAAAAAGACAATGCGCTGCCCCCAGGCTATGTTGTTTGTTGGTTTATAAGCCCCATGAACTAGTTCTTTTAACATCAGCTATTCACAGCTCCTGTAGACTTGCAATGACGTGCACCTTAAAACCACCATTTGCAGATCATGTTCTGAACGGCTTTCCCCATGGCTTTTCCACATCTCTATAGAAAAACCGCAGGCTAATCACCAGTGTTCACTATTTTTCTTGCTTTAATCAACATTTCTCCCATCATTTTCCCAGATTTTCTGGGTTGAATCACCATTTTCCCATCATTTTCCCTAGGATTTCACGGATTTCCACGGAAAACCACGCCAGGCACCGCCCGAAACCACCGAAAAACTTTTTCGGCCCAGGTGGACTACGTGAACACCCACGGCACCTCGACCCCCATCGGTGATGTCCAAGAACTGGGCGCCGTGAAACGCGTCTTTGAGGCGGGCAGAGTGGTTGGATGATTCGCAGATGGGGATGGGTCAATACCTATTAATAGTGGGATAATCTATATTAATCATGATTAATAGTGATTAATAGTGGTTAAATCTATAGTTAGTTAATCTGGTTGGTGGTTTTGAACATTTTTTATTCTTCCATATATTTGGAAGAATCATCCCAACTGACTTTCATATTTTTCAGAGGGGATGAAACCACCAACCAGGATGTTTATAGATCCCAGATGCTCCATGGTGCTGGAATATTTATACCTACAAAACTGGGTCATTTTTGGGGTAAATGTAAGTAAATATTCCAGCACCATGGAGCATCTGGGATGTGAACTACTTATAGAATCTTATAGAATTATCAATTTTATTTTTATCATGAATTTCATGACTGATCATGAATTATTCCAAAAAAAACATACGTGGCACGATGCTCGAGATGTTTTGAGGTTTTTTTTGGAGTCAGACCTTATAGCGCCGAACACGAAACGCAGGAGAAGGGCTATCAGCCATATGTCGGATCAACCAAGTCTATGTACCTTGGGCTGTGGGAGTGGGCAGTGGATGGAATCCAACCTGAGATTTGCAGCAAAAGCCTGGTCAAGGTGAAGAACTTGCGTTGTTACTGTAACTAGCCTCTGGTAAACTGTCCCATAACTATGGAAAATCACCATTTTCAATCGGGAAAACGCACTATTTCTATGGTCATTGTCAATAGCAAACTGTAAACGTTTACCAGCGGGTATCTGTACTTGTGTCTTTGGGATGGTACGAGTTGCAGTAAGGTTTGCTTCAAACGCTTACTCCAAAGTCGATCCATACTACTGTTTTTTGGGTGAAACATAGCGAACATATTACACTATGATAAGAACTGTTCATAGTTGATTCAGATGTTTTACACCCTAAATCACTAACTGTGATGTCACAAAGTCTACGAATCACTAACTGTTCACTAATCTTTTACACATGTTTTTCACCCTAAATATCCCTAAATCTGCTCCAAGGTCTGGTCATGCCTTGGGTGCGGCCGGCGTGCACGAAGCGCCACTTAGACATTTCAGACGTGGGGAATTTCACAGGTTTCCCTGGGGAAATGATCTAGAAATGGCGGGTGTTTGGCATCTGAAAGTTGGAGGGTAATTATTTGATTTGGGACGCTAATTATATATATATATTATACAGCTAAGATTGTATCCTCAGGGATTTCCAAATTTTGACATGTCCGCATTTTCATGTAGTGAAGCCAACACAGTTTTTGAAGGATACTTATATAACCAAAGCAGGCCAGCGTGGACCCCGAACTTGGTTTTGATGTGGCTTCAATATTCAACGGATTGGTTTAAGGGAACATTTACAGGGTTAACCCCGATATTTCATGGGAAAATCCAAGTTTTCCAGTTAAGATTTCCCTTGAACCAATCCGACATATGTTACACCACTCTTGACACTTCAAACCTGTTTAATCACCCGGGCAGCAATGTCGCAGACTGAGGATCTATTCGTTGCTCATGATGGATCGAGGCTTTTTGGCGGAGTCCATCAACATTGACGACTTAGACGCTCAGTTTTTTTGGCGTTCAAGGATCTCCCTAGCTGTGGTCAAATGCCCTGAGAGAGGTGATAAAAAACATGGATGCATTATATGGAGCTATACTAACTCATGGCGTTTATGGCTTTCCGGTTGTTTGCTAACTGTACACCGAAGTTCACTTTTTTGCGTGCCACTTGGGAGCTGGGGACAATGGCTCTTCATTGACGACTGGAAAAGTTCTTGGATTGGATAATTGGGATTCATAGAAGCCAACTATCAGTTGAGTCAAGGAAAGGTGGCATTTGTTGGATGTTTATATTGTGTTATTTGTGAGTTCATTTCTTGGTTCAGTTGCGATCCTGCTTGTTGATTTATTTTCTATTGAATTACATACTCCAATTGAGTAAATTACTTGTGTGTGGTACTAGTACCTTTTAGTAAACGAACATCGCTATGGACAAATCACAATGTTTAATGGGTAGAACGAACTAAATGGCCATTTTCAACAGCTAATGTTAGATGACCAGAGGGCATAGGTCACTGAAGTGACTGGCTGATCTCAGATTGGCCATCATCTTCGCACCAAATCCAGGTGGATGAGGCTGATGGAATGAAGATCCTGACTGAACGACATGATGGCGGTGTTGCGCGTGTCTTGGCCAGATGACTAATGTTAAGGGGGAGATTCATGGCCAGTAGTTGCAATGACAAAGGTCAAATTTCATCTATATATATATATATATACCCTCTGGTAAACTAACATAGCTATGGAAAACCACCATTTTTAATGGGAAAATCCACTATAAACTGCCATTTTCAATAGCTATGTTAAATTACCAGAGGGTATATATATATATATATGGTAGTGATGGATTGGGAATGATTGGGATGGTGATCCGAAAGCTGAATTGGATGCTTTTTGGGGGATGGGATTCTGGTAATTGCCCTCAAACAAAAATATGCAGGTTTCAACAAACACATTAGTATATAAATATATCTTATCAAGGGAAAAGAAGGATTGGATTCGAAGCACCGCCCCTGAAACAGACTTCATGCAGACACAAACCATCCCAGTTATCAATCATAAAAAGAGATCGTAATTCCCATGTCATAGTCCCCAGTTATGGGGTTGGTATATTCTTCCGATGCAGTCTGACAGCATAGGCAGCAAGTACTCAGGGCGTCTGAGAAAAGACCTGCCTTGCTTCATCTATAACTGGTTCAACAGGTTCCATGATACATATATATACTTAGTTCAACTCAACTATGATCAGCCCAAGTTTAAACTGTTAAATCCATTTAAATCCAAATGTTATTACTGGATTATCCACTCAAATCATCCCACATCTCAAATGATCCCGACCTATGATCCAGGTGTAGCCTCCAACTCCTTCGGCTTTGGTGGAACCAACGCCTGTTTGGTCTTCGACAAATTCGAGGCCCACGGCAAGGGGGGGATACCTTTTTTGTTTTGCTATATTTTAATATTTTAGGGAAAATGATGATGAAGCCAGATAAAGGGCATTTTGTGGGGCCAACAGAATTGTTTGGAGAAATATGTACTGAAGTTAGTGTCTAAGAGTAATGGGTCAACTAGCTCCTCTCAAGATACTAATGTTAATACGAAATGGCCAAACTTGGTCATTGCCAACCACAGACTTTGTTTTCTTGCTGAAATTTTGAAAAAAATATCGATGAAATCGGAATTGACCAAACTATTTTTTTGGATTGAATTTTGTGGGGTCTCAATGTGATACACTCGACATTAAATCTATACCAGCCTTCTCTACTTGCAGCAGTTCAAATTGGTTCATGTGTTCTGTTCTCCGGATGATTGATTGGAAGCTTATATTATCCATCTTTACCTGTTACTGTTGGTCCGGTAGTGAGCCTAGTTACTCCGTATAGGGTTTTATAAACTTTTTTTTTAAAAAAAATTGGGGTTCCAGGACTGCAACAATCTCTTGCAGGCGTAGCTTGTCGCTGGTCGCTGCTGAGCCCATGCGAGTGGTCGGAATCGGCAGGGAGAACCAAACAGATCGAAATATCACAAGTTTCACAGAGTTCAGATGAGTCTGGGTCATTTTATGTCATTTTCTAGTGAATCCATGCCACTTAAGATACTTAATTTATTGTGCTATTCCACAGATGTTAAGCCATCGATATTCAGCTCACATGGTCCCCTGCCATCTCCGAACCTGGGAATTGGTGTCTCATCGCCACAGACTTGCCACGAATGGCCACGAATTGCTGCGCTGGATCTTTGTCAAAGAGATTTTTTCCCTGGTCCCGTGACGTCCCGTGGACATTTTTTTGACAACGTGATGTAGCATGAACAATTCATGAGATCGGTCTGTCTGAAAATGGGTATACCCTCACAAATGCCATATATATATATATATATATTAATGGTGAATAATGGTGGGTCATCATGATTCTTTTAGGGTAAACTATTTTCCGACAAACCCAATTAATAGCTATGTTGAGCTCAAACATGAGAGTATGGAGACCAGTTCAATCCATGTTTGTTTCCCCTTTATCATGATATTTGGTGTTAAGCCCACGTAGAAGATGGGCACATTTGACTTTAGGAAGAGGGCGGTAAGGACTGCGGGCGCCGCCCGCTCCTCTGCTCTCGATTTTTTTCAAAGCTATGAGGCCGGAAACTCCTTCAGCGTGACCGTCGCGTTGAGGGACAGGTCAATACGACCCAGGGGGAGCAATGGAATGTGAAGAGGTACAATTTCTATTGCTTCCTGAATTTCTTATAATTTCTTGATGCTTTTAATTCATGATGCTTTTTCCTAAGATCTGCATGTGCCTCGCGCGCGGAAAAAGCGACGTGGACGACACGTCGTGTATTGCGAGGTTGGGCCCAAGGTGATTACTCCTTGGAGGGACAGGTCCAACAAGCTGATTCTCAGGATATCTGGCTAAATATCATAATGAGTAATGATGAGAAGCCAAGCAGCAATATATATATATAATATTATAATACATAATTATATATATATATACATACTATATTGGATGAATAATGGATAATCATGGTTGAAACCACTGATTCTTTTTGATCTGACTACCTTTTTTTGTGACGAAAAACTGCAGTGTTCAACCGTTCAACCCCAAGGGATTAGCCACCCTGCAGGATATAGAGGGCGTTTTCATGAGCAACTGTACTTGCAGTTCGCAGTTTCAATGATGTTTGATGTTCAATCATATGATGGGACACCAAAATCATTCCAAAATGAATTAGATGGCAGTACTCAGCCAGGGTCTGTGATTATATATATATATATATATCCTCTTAGTCCTCTTAGAGAACTGGACAATCATTTTTTTCAAGAACGGTAAATCATAATTGTTTATCATGCACGAAAAGGGCCATCTATACCATATGGCATAGCTATGTAACAGAAAACCAGAAGGCATATCCCCATCATCCATTCTTCATCAATTCGTGTTGGTTGTTATCCCATCAGTAACCATTATTTATCATTATTCACCATTACTAACCATTATTAACCATTACATGTATCATTATTCATCAGTATGAATATTCAGCTATTCTCCAATCATTGTCCCTTTGCTATCCTCAGTGAAAGAAAACACATGACATACTGTAGCCATTATCATCCGCCAACCAGAGGTAACACTATACTTAATAATACATATATTCCACATAAGATGTTTATATCTTCCTAAGATGATATATCCCCGTTATTATGTTTGTGGGGTCTATAAATTCATACTTGGATGAACTTCGATGTGCATCCCACTTAGTATATAAATCAATGGGAATTTCAGGAACCTAAATTGGAGGTACCTACCATATATGAGGCCTATATAAGGTCGGTCCTTGGGGTTGATCACTTCATGGTGAGCCAAGGCAGCTTGGCGGTTCTGCTGGCGCTGGCGGCCATTCTGACGACCCCTGTGGCGGCCGAGATCTTTGGTAACTGGGTCATAGCTATGGTACTTGGGGGGTGTGAGGTGAAACAGGGGTGTAACCATGGTGAAATGAAGCCCATAAGTTGGGATATATTGGGCCCCTACAACTGTAGTTATCCACTTATAGACTGGAGCTGCATTTAATAGATTACCTGTTTGTACAATGGTTTAATGGGAATTCATGGAATTTTATGGTGATTAATAGGGATTTCAGCAACAAACATGGGGATGTTAATGGGAATACCGGTGTCATCAAGTGTGGCTGGCTGATGCCCCTATAAATGACGGTTTGTAGCTAAATGTAGCTAAGACAATCATCTATAAATGATGTGTTTTTGTTCAGCAAACCATGTTTGAGGACACCACAGGGCAGCTATGAAAATGCTGGTTTCCGCTTTGCAAACTGTTGGAGTACTTTCTCAGATATGCCAGGTTAGAGAAGGACACCTGTTATCGAACCAAGCAGAAATTGGTGTGTCTGAAAATGGGCTAATTATACTCCCAAATAGCAATTATCATAGGGAAACTGATGATAATCCATTGGAATTGCAGACACCCTATTTTCAGTCAAGTCCAAATATCATACTGATGAATTTTGGTAAACGATTGTTTGTTACAACCAAAACAAGGCTAATCAAGGTAGAACTTTTAAAACCTGACTTTGGGGCAGTTTTATTCAATCCAGTTGGGAGCTGAAGGGCTAAGGCCGTTCAATAGGCCATGGTGACGGTTTTTGCCCCTTCGGTGATGGATATTAGAACATATTATCAATAAGGTAAGAACATTAATATATCCACAGCATCCCTGGTTGTAATATCATGGAAACTGATGGATTGCTATTGTTTTCCAGTGTTCAAAAATCTCTGTCGCCTGTTCGTACTGGTCTTGAAAGGGATTCAAAAGTAATGGGTCATCGTACTTTAAGCGATTCCCATAATCATCGTAACCCCCAGCAAACCAGGCAATATACCCTCTGGTTGTTTAACTTAGCTGCGGTATATATTGACCTATTTATAGATGGTACACATGATAATCTACCGATTAAAAACTTTGATTTTCCAGTTCGCTGCGTTGAATTACCATAGGGTATCATCATGTTTGTTCGTTATATCCCATGATATCCCTTTTATTCCCATGTTACGTCCAAAACGCAACAAGATAAGCCCCAACAAACCAGGTAATTGAACATATCCATTGGACATGGCTCATTATAATTGATTTACTATTAATGTTGAGTCCTGATTAGTGTGTGGCCCCCCCCCCCCCTAAACTATTTCTGGACTCTCTTTAACGTAGAAAGTCAAAAAATTTCTTCCCAAAAGAAAAACATATCCTCAATTAAGTAAGGATTTCAATTGGCTACAATTGAAATCTAATTACTATTGTTTTTTTTTGCCGATGAAGTTGTGGTATTTGTAGTACATGTAGTACTTGTAGTACATGTAGTACTTGTAGTACTTGTAGTACTTGTAGTACTTGTAGTACTTGTAGTACTTGTAGTACTTGTAGTACTTGTAGTACTTGTAGTACTTGTAGTACTTGTAGTACTTGTAGTACTTGTAGTACTTGTAGTACTTGTAGTACTTGTAGTACTTGTAGTACTGTAGTACTTGTAGTACTTGTAGTACTTGTAGTACATGTAGTACTTGTAGTACTTGTAGTACTTGTAGTACTTGTAGTACTTGTAGTACATGTAGTACTTGTAGTACTGTAGTACATGTAGTACTTGTAGTACATGTAGTACTTGTAGTACTGTAGTACTTGTAGTACTTGTAGTACTTGTAGTACATGTAGTACTTGTAGTACTTGTAGTACATGTAGTACATAGTAGTACTTGTAGTACATGTAGTACTTGTAGTAGTACTTGTAGTACTTGTAGTACTTGTAGTACTTGTAGTAGTAGTACTTGTAGTACTTGTAGTACTTGTAGTACTTGTAGTACAGTACTTGTAGTACTTGTAGTACTTGTAGTACTTGTAGTACTTGTAGTACTTGTAGTACTTGTAGTACTTGTAGTACTTGTAGTAGTACTTGTAGTACTTGTAGTAGTACTTGTAGTACTTGTAGCTCATGCTCAGCCCATGCTCATGCTCAGCCCATGCTCATGCTCAGCCAGCTCATGCTCAGCCCATGCTCATGCTCAGCTCATGCTCAGCTCATGCTCATGCTCAGCTCATGCTCATGCTCAGTTCATGCTCATGCTCAGCTCATGCTCATGCTCAGCTCATACCCAGCACATGCTCAGCTCATGCACAGCCCATGTTTAGCTTATACTCAGCTAAATCTCAAGAGACACTGAACCAGCTCATGCCCAGTTTGCTGCAATAGTGAACCCAGCAAACAAACCTACTAAAGTGAAATGGAGCCTCTACTGGTCCAGGGCCTTGGAAAATTGTGGAAAAGCTGTTCTTTAATAAGGGTTTAATAAGGGATTGGTTCTTTGGGAAAGGCTTGCAGTTTGAATTTGGCAATTTTGGAAATGGCTTGCTTCCCCTTCTTCAGGGGCTGCTCTGGCACAGCTTGCTGCAATAGTGAACCCAGCAAACAAACCTACTAAAGTGAAATGGGCCTCTACTGGTCCAGGGCCTTGGAAAATTGTGGGAAAGCTGTTCTTTAATAAGGGTTTAATAAGGGATTGGTTCTTTGGGAAAGGCTTGCAGTTTGAATTTGGCAATTTTGGAAATGGCTTGCTTCCCTTCTTCAGGGGCTGCTCTGGCACAGCTTGCTGCAATAGTGAACCCAGCAAACAAACCTACTAAAGTGAAATGGGGCCTCTACTGGTCCAGGGCCTTGGAAAATTGTGGGAAAGCTGTTCTTTAATAAGGGTTTAATAAGGGATTGGTTCTTTTGGGAAAGGCTTGCAGTTTGAATTTGGCAATTTTGGAAATGGCTTGCTTCCCTTCTTCAGGGGCTGCTCTGGCACAGCTTGCTGCAATAGTGAACCCAGCAAACAAACCTACTAAAGTGAAATGGGGCCTCTACTGGTCCAGGGCCTTGGAAAATTGTGGAAAGCTGTTCTTTAATAAGGGTTTAATAAGGGATTGGTTCTTTTGGGAAAGGCTTGCAGTTTGAATTTGGCAATTTTGGAAATGGCTTGCTTCCCTTCTTCAGGGGCTGCTCTGGCACAGCTTGCTGCAATAGTGAACCCAGCAAACAAACCTACTAAAGTGAAATGGGGCCTCTACTGGTCCAGGGCCTTGGAAAATTGTGGGAAAGCTGTTCTTTAATAAGGGTTTAATAAGGGATTGGTTCTTTTGGGAAAGGCTTGCAGTTTGAATTTGGCAATTTTGGAAATGGCTTGCTTCCCTTCTTCAGGGGCTGCTCTGGCACAGCTTGCTGCAATAGTGAACCCAGCAAACAAACCTACTAAAGTGAAATGGGCCTCTACTGGTCCAGGGCCTTGGAAAATTGTGGGAAAGCTGTTCTTTAATAAGGGTTTAATAAGGGATTGGTTCTTTTGGGAAAGGCTTGCAGTTTGAATTTGGCAATTTTGGAAATGGCTTGCTTCCCTTCTTCAGGGGCTGCTCTGGCACAGCTTGCTGCAATAGTGAACCCAGCAAACAAACCTACTAAAGTGAAATGGGCCTCTACTGGTCCAGGGCCTTGGAAAATTGTGGGAAAGCTGTTCTTTAATAAGGGTTTAATAAGGGATTGGTTCTTTTGGGAAAGGCTTGGGGTTTGAATTTGGCAATTTTGGAAAAGGCTTGCTTCCTTCTGGGCTTCCAGGAGCTGCTCTGGCACAGCTTGCTGCAATAGTGAACCCAGCAAACAAACCTACTAAAGTGAAATGGAGCCTCTCCTGGTCCAGGGCCTTGGAAAATTGTGGAAAAGCTGTTCTTTAATAAGGGTTTAATAAGGGATTGGTTCTTTTGGGAAAGGCTTGGAGTTTGAATTTGGCAATTGCCTTGTGAATCCTCTACTGGTCCAGGGCCTTGGAAAATTGTGGGAAAGCTGTTCTTTAATAAGGGTTTAATAAGGGATTGGTTCTTTTGGGAAAGGCTTGCAGTTTGAATTTGGCAATTTTGGAAATGGCTTGCTTCCCTTCTTCAGGGGCTGCTCTGGCACAGCTTGCTGCAATAGTGAACCCAGCAAACAAACCTACTCAGATAGAGATGCATTTACAGGCTCAGATAGGGAGATGAGCAAAAATTGACTGAGCTACAGCGTTTTTGAGAAAAAATGCCTCTCAGCAATTACAGTTTTTTTTGCAAAAAAAAGGGCTCTCCCAATTTTGTTTTGCCACAAAAGCGAACCCTCCAAACAATACATGAGTTTCAGAATAATTTGGAAAAAAATTGCCACAATAGCGACCCTAGGTACTAATCAGGACTCAACATTATTGACATGTATTAAACTAGTGTTTTTTGTGTTTGAGTTTACTAAGACGGTTTTTTCACCCTTGATGAAATCAGCCGGGCTTAGTTGCCGTGGTCTTTTAAGGCAACTTCAGCCTTGACGGCCTCAGCCAAGGTGGGAGCTAGTTGGGATTCTGGGAGGGCCTCGTATTTTAATAGAGGCTAATCATTGAAAACATACTTGAAGAACTTGAACTCAGCACTGCAAAAAAAAAATAGGCAGCGCATGGCGGTAATGTTCCATGATTTTCGGCTGTATTAACATTTTGAATTGGTCAAACCGTGAAACTTGTTTGAAATTAAGTTGTCGGAGCATGTGATATTTGGCATTCGGCATGATGCAAAATCTAAACCCCCAGGGCTTACATATTTAGGTCAAGTTTTGATGTTAAGTGGCCCGCTTCTTTGAATATCCTGTGGTGTTTTCTTTTGTGCATGAAGATTGAGGCAGATCATGATTCACTATTATAGCCACACCAGTTCCACGATTCGTGTGCCAGAAAGGTCCGTGGACATACTCGCTTCAATTACTTTAATTCAACATCTAAAAAACGAGTTTGGATGATTGAAATGCAAAGCAACCCATTTCTTGGGCACCCAATTGTGACCCAAATCCCCCAAAAAACGCGTCAAAAACCTGAGCCGCCGTGGCTCAACCGGCTCAACCAGCATCGCTTCATTTCTAGATTCTAACTGAGACGATCAACTGATGTCTGCTGTCCATGGCGATGTGCAGCCGATCGATATCCACGTGATATGTTTGAGTGGTGAAGGCTGCACCCTGAGACTTGGTGCTTGGAGCCTTGGCAGGGAGCTGCGCAAGATGGTTTCGGAGAAGCTTCCTTCAAAGAAAGGGACAAAGTTCATTCTCCACCACGGTGCTTCACCGCTGATGCTCCACAATTCATTGCAGGAGCAGGGCATTGTGGGCATTGTGGGTGAAAATCCAACACTGTCCTGCACTTACATTCCAACAGATTTATATCTTGCAAGCCTCGAGGTCAGCGGATTTCCTGTGTCTGAGGAAGAATTTGCACTGGAAGGGGTGACGCAAATAAGAGGCAGCGACTCCACTGCTTATTTGTACAATCTTCCAAAAGGCCTCGAAAGTTTAATCCTTGGCGATGAGTTCAACCAGAGCCTTGAGGGTGTACACCTTCCTGAGAGCCTTCAAAACTTCACCCTTGGTGGTTGGTTCAACCAGAGCCTGGAACGAGTAACGTTCCCAAGAAATCTGCAACGCTTAACTTTGGGCAGAGATTTCAATCACAGCCTGGAAAAAGTGACCTTGCCAAACAATTTGCAAATCTTGACGTTTGGTAGCATGTTCAACCAGAGACTTGAAGGTGTGACCTGGCCAACGAGTCTCAAAAGTTTGACTTTTGGTGGTATGTTCAACAAGAGCCTCGAACGTGTGAACCTGCCAAGCTGCCTGCAAATCTTAACTTTTGGTCGTGATTACAACCACAGTTTGGACCAAGTGATTTTGCCACGCAATTTGCAAAACTTGACTTTGGGGAGCATGTTTAACCACAGCCTGGAAAGTGTGACCTTCCCAAACGGTCTGCTAGGCTTCAGCTTCGGCAATAATTTCAGCCAGAGTCCCGAGCGCGTGACCTTGCCGGACAGCCTCCAAAGTTTGACTTTGGGTGTGATGCTCGACCAAAGCCTAGAACGAGTGACTTGGCCAAGAAATCTGCAAAACTTGTGTTTCGGCACCGTTTTCAACCAGACGCTGGAGCATGTGACTTTGCCAAGCACTCTGCAGACTTTGACTTTTGGGGACATGTTCAACCAGAGCCTAGATAAAGTGACCTTGCCGAACTCTCTGCAAAGCATGACTTTTGGCCGTGATTTCGACCGGAGCCTTGCAGGTGTAACTCTGCCAAGAAGTCTAAAGAGCTTGAAGTTTGGCACTCATTTCAACCAGAGCCTCCTTCAGGTGGCGTTTCCAAGCAACCTCCAAAAATTGACTTTTGGAGAAATGTTTAATCAGAGCTTGGATGGAGTGACCTTGCCAAGCGGCCTGCAAAGCTTGGCTTTCAGCACCAATTTTTCACAGAACTTGGAGCGAGTGACCTTGCCCAGCAGTCTTCAAAGTTTGGCCTTTGGCATGTGGTTCAACAACAGTTTGGAACGAATGACTTGGCCCAGCAATTTACAACGTTTGACATTTGGTGGAAGGTTCAACCAGAGTATGAACAGGGTAACGCTGCCAAGCAATCTCCAGAGCTTGACTTTTGGTTGTGATTTCGACCAGAGCTTGGAAGATGTGACATTTCCAAGTAATCTCCAAAGCTTGACTTTTGGTTTCATGTTTAACCAGAGCTTGGAAGGAGTGACCTTGCCCACCAGTCTGCGAAGCCTGGTTTTTGGTGAGAAGTTCAACCAAAGCCTCCTGAAAGTAACCCTGCCAGGTGGCCTACAAAGCTTGACATTGGGTAGGGGTTTCCTTTTCATGCACAGCCTGAAGCACGTGACATCGCTTGGCAATCTCCACACTCTTGCTTGTGGTTCCGTATCCGTCAGCAGCTTGTGATTCGCTCGCAAATTGCAGTGGGGATTGAGTTGGTGCCACCAACTTGAGGGTTTACGACCCCAAAGTCGGAGCAGTGTAATCTGTCAAGTTGGATACAATGATTAGCCTATAGCTAGATAGACTAGACTAGATACGGTTATTAAATGGATGGATAGATAGATGGCCAATGTATTCAATATGTTTGAGACTATTTTCAAAATATCGATATTGTCGTATAGAATGCGTTGTATATATATATATATTATATTATTATATATATATAATTATATAAATATATTATATATATATATATATTGTATATATACAAAGTATACAAATATAATCAAATATATTCAACATCGATTCCTCCAATATATTCTGAATTATTCAACGTAATTGACATCCATTGTCATTGAATATCTCTAATATGGGATATCATTATTGAATCAATTATCTTATACTAATTATCAGTTGCCAATTCTAATGATTGAATCAATAATTATTCTTTAGTAATATTGCCAACCTGACATAAGAATGATGGTTAGTAGAGCTACCTATCCAAAAATGGCCTTATTTCAGACTAGTGAAATATTCTAATTTGCTCAGATCTATGATATTTTGTGAGTATATTCAAGCCATATCATTGATTTGGAGTATAGTCTAGGATATTATGGATATTATTCAATATTTTTGATGGTACTATATGGTATGATAGAATATGACTATCATTCAAACGGAGATCCATGGTATTTGGTGAGTAATGTCAACCCTGGATTTATAAACCCCTTTAGCCAAACGGCTGTTTAATTGGGGGGGTTCCTTAAAAAAAAAAAAAACATACTGTAAGATTATCACTATTCCTACCTGGGGAGTACCTAAGAAACCATGGTTATTTTCATCCAGGGTTGACATTATCCCCTCAGTGAATAGTGGTAATTTAATCCAATTTACATCAATTTACTAATCCAAAATATTTGGTTAGTATAGTACCCTCTGGTAAATTAACATAAATCCTGAACATCACCTATTTTTAGTGGAAACCAATATTCCAAACCGTTTTCTGGCAGGGTCGAACTGTGAATTTCCTGCAGGCCTTCCTAAAAATCCTGGCTGCCAGGCGCGGCCTTCGTCAAGAAGCCCATCGTCGCGGGATTGGTGGAGGCGCCTGCATGGTCGATGGCGCATTGGATGCAAAAATTCCCCCTGGAATTGTGATGCCAATGCAATGGTTCCCATGGGAGGGATGGCCATACCGGTAAGCCATATGCCATGTTTTGACCATGGCACATCTAACTTTTACATGGCCATGGCACTGAATCGGTTGTGGTTTGACTGTATTAAGTTGTTTAATCGTTATTTCCCATTTGTTTTTATCCACTTCAGTGGCAATTTCTACCATGGACCCTGAGGTAAGACAGTTTGTCTGAAATGAATTGGCTATTTGATAGGAAAATGACCATAGATCACCGGATTGAGGAATAATTATCCTATTGTCAGACACAGCCATATTCACGCTAAGAAATGGGGCGTTCATCATTATTGAACCAACAAGACAACAAACATGATATTCTCATATATGTTCATCAGCAGAAGCAGGGATCCCAGTGCCAAGAGTGGTACTGCCACCATGGATTTCCTAAGTTTGTGATATGTGCTCCATTAAATCATTAAATATTACGTCGTGTGCTGATCCACATTTTGGAGAAACTATTGAAGGGAACATGTTTAACTTTCCGCCGGGCAACCTTTCCCCCGGATGAACAGAGAGGCAAGGGGTCCTGTACTCGCAGGGCATCATCGTGTGTTCTGATTCTTGGGACCTACAACTGCCGGTTTGGATAAAGATCTTCAATAGACGTGTTTGATTCGGTCAAAAAGTGGGACCCCAAAAACCTACGGCAGTTGAAGATCAACCATTTTTGTGGGCAGCTCTTCTTTCTTTGGACTTCAAGAAATCGAGGGATCCCAATGATTCATCCACCAAAGTGTTTGGAAATGTCGATCAAAAAAATGAATTGTCATTTTTTTCGGGGTTCCCCCCATATCAAAATCCCCATATTTCGACCGCCTTCAGATCCTGGAACCGGTGATGTGTGAGTCACTACCACCTGCCCTGATCAAGACCTTCAAGGCCATGAGATCTCCTGGTGTCAGTGGGTAACCGTAGACGCCGTAGTGGGTGACCAAGAAAACAACGGGGAGAATGGCAACCCTGACTGGTTGGTGGTCTGGAACCATGGAATTTTATGACTTTCCGGTTATTGGGAATAATCCTTCCCATTGACTTTCATATTTTTCAGAGGGGTTGAAACCACCAACCAGCTGAAAATGGAGGACTTCTGGGATTTTTATGTGGCAAGTTCGACAAACAGCTGGTGAAAGTCGGAGAATCGCAGTGGAAAAAAAATGTTCCGATATCTTGCAGAGGGTATCCGCTATACGATGCATGTTCATTAAAATCCCTACATATTGCTTATTCGTTCGGTTTATTACATATGATGTTTCTTCTTACTATAGTATGAATCTATATATATATATGTAATAATAGTATATGCAATAGTCATATAGTAGTACTAATAGTGGTAGTCATAGGTAGTATATCTTATACTGAATGAAACGTCATGCCTTGCACTCGGATCTGTAGGATGAACGCATGGCCTGCAGCATGGTGTGCATGATGGCCGCTTGGGCGGTGGTCAGGCGGTCAATGGCTACATGGCTACCATAGCCCCAATAAAAACCCCAATGGCTGGATGATTTATAATGGAAGAAATGGATGATTTGGGGGTACTTCCCAGTTTAGGAAACCCCCAATTTGTTTGTTGTTGTTGTTTTGTTTTGTTTTAAGCCGTATTCTATCTACTTTCGGCATGATATGACGGGATTTTTCGAATGTGAGACTGGTGGAATACACCAGGATGGTGGATGAGTATGGGGAAGTGGGACACAAAAATGGGATGATTACCACTTGCTGGGATAATGATATTCTAACAATTAGTATTAGGACAATGATATTATATAATATAATATATTCATAATGCATATTGGGATAATATGATGAATATGGGATAATCATCCTATTCATTGGGTCATTGGATTAGGATCATGATCTAACAATTAGTAATTGGATTATGGGGAAGTATAACAATTATGGGATCTTTCTTTCAGATCATGGGATTTTTTTTCAGATCATCCCCGTTGTGGGGGTTGGTGTTCATGCCCCCCAATGGGAAGCGGTAAATATTGAGAACAGTTGATGTTCATTGCCAAAAGAGAAAAGTTGAGAATCCGCATTCTAAACTTCTCTCTTCAAGCTTCCGCAACAGGGAGTTCTGCCAAGGTATCGCAACAAGTCCTCCCATGAATCCACATTAAATGCTTCAAAAGATTCAACCATTTTGGGTAACTGATAGGCTTGACCCATAGCATAGCGATATGGGTATGGGTCAATACCTATTAATACCATTTTTAGGGGGATGAACATCCATTTACCAGCTATTTTGATGTTCACCAGGGGTACAAGATTTTGACACACTGCCATATATGTTTGATGCTTTTGTGGTGCTTCAGGAGCACATGATGGCAAACCCGGACTTTGTGAAAGCCAGGGCCTTGGTGACATCACTGAGCCATAGGGGAACAGAAAAATGACCATTTATAGTGGATTTTCCCATTAAAAATGGTGATTTTCCATAGTTATGGGACAGTGTACCAGAGGGTAAACAGATCATATGCCATGTATTTTATGATTTGACCAAACATGCACTGAACTCAACTGAGAATTGAGGACATGCACTTGCACTGGGCGTTGGCGATCTAGGCGGTCTGAGGACTGTGTATATATACATATATACATATATATATATATACATATGTCCTCTTAGAGATATGTGTGTACTAAAAAAAATCAAACAACAGTCAGAACTCAACACATCAAATTCATAGTCCGCGAGTGACATTCAGTTAAAGCAAACCAACTGAAACTGGCAAACTATAGGTTTAACAAATAGGTTTATCATTTATGAAGATTTATGAAGCTTCTGAATGTTGAAAACTATAGGTTTTATATCATAAGCTGTAGGATTATAGGTTAGACAATGGCAAATCTATGGCAAGTTTGGCCCGCTAAGGTCCTGAAAAACTTCATCAGCACATCCATGACGAACGAGGCTGGGTTGGCTGACCCTGGGATTTCTTGGATGGGTATAGCAACTCAAAAAAAAACATGTCTTTATGATTTGCCATACGGTGGATGGAAGAAATCCTGCACCAGTTGACAGGTGGTCTATCCAGTCTATCCCACTAGTTATAGGGTTTCAACCATCCAAGGTGGTGCAGGATTTCGCAACCATCCACAGTAGTGATAGTTTGAGGCGGAGATTATAAATGTCTATCTAATCAGTATTTTGCCATTAGCTTTGAATAATTTCATATACAGTAATGTCTATATCTTGGAGGCTGCTATATGGGTCAATACCAAATATGCGCCAATCTGGGGTGACTATGTACTGTAACATTGATGAACTTTTCCGTATAGTCTATGTTGTTCAATTTTGGGATGCGAACTACAGTAACTACAGTACCAGAGTCTTGAAATGTTTTGAAAGATGGCCACATGCCAGTGTAGGCAATTAAAAAACTCCAATGGATGGTCTTTTCTGGTAGAAACACATCCAAATGGCCAGCGGGCCATAGATATGACATGATATGACTCCATAAAAGTATCCCAGTCACACGCTGTAAGTTGACCTCCATGAACTTCACCTTTGCAGTATAGTTCATTCAAAACCAACTGTGAGCATGGATCATCCATTCTATCCCATTGTTTAAAGTCATTTTCCCATTGAAACAGATATGTTTTGCCATGTAAATCCAGGATTTTCATGGACTTTCAGGCTGTAATTCCCATGGATTCATGATAATTCCCATGGATTGCAAAATCACCCTGGGAGGAGTTGCTTGGAAGCCTCAAGGAGGTCATGAGAGATGCTTGGGGTCTCAGCTCAGCGATGCAACAACAATGCAACACAACGATGAACACCAATTTCTTTTGCTGGGAATGTGATCTACAAATGATGGGTTTTCCACTATGTTAAGTTTACCCGGCCTAGGGATCTATAGGATATATTATGGATATATTTATGTTTGCATGTTGATCCATGCATGGGTCAATTGATGCATACTCCATTGCCAACGACCCAAGCATTTGGGCGCTTTTGCGCGAAGATCTTTGTGTCTAGGAAGACCTCACATGAATAGATTCAAGGCCCAATAAGCCCCATTTATTTTGACGAACATGGACATCATGGACCCATGGATTTTCCTGTCCTTTTTTGAAGGAGATAGGCAGGTGGCACTCTGAAAGGTGACCACACCTGTCATCGTTGTGCTAGGCTTTGTCTGACAGCCACCTCTACAAATCGGCCATGCACGGTCCGAGTCCCAGTACGTCAGTGGCGAAACATGGAGAGCGAGTCCCAGATCCAAATCCAACAAAGGTCGAGACAAATTGAATTGGAACATTGAGAAGGAAGAAATCATCAACATATTTATATATATATATATATAAATTATATATATATCAAAGTGCTCGTTTTGGTTTAAAGCATCCGCTATGGGGGGTCATTTGCTAGTGGCCAATGCTGCGAATTGCTCAAACCATGCCCCAGACATCAACCTACCTTAGAAGTGTTGACCCATGAACGCCCATGGACTTAATATGGAGATACGATGAGATACCACCACCAACAGAGTCACACATTCCTCGGTGTAAAAAACTGCTCGCAATCAGCCCCACCGATCCATGGTCCAATGTGGGTGTGTCTGAAAATTGGGTATACCGGTATACCATGGAAAACCACCCAAACAACAAAAATAAAAATTGTGCATCATTTCAACAAGAAACATAGTGATTAAGCAACGAAGTTGACGATACCCTATGTTCAGATAGCCGCGCATGTGTCAAAGTCGTTGTTGTCCCCTACTCGAGCAGGTGGGCCCAAAGAAGCTACCATAGATGCCAAGGTCAACAGTTGGATATAATAATATGATATAATGTCAACCCCGGATTCATAAACCACGGTTTATGAAATAGGGGCTTCTCCTCCAATAGTCATTTCATCTGATACTTATTTTTCATGGTACCCCCCTTTTTTCAACAGCTGTAAACGGGAATGACATTCATCCAGGGTTGACAGCCCCATGGTCCCCCAGGTGTGGCGAATAGCTTGAATCCCCTACACTCGGAGACGCTGGTGCGCCACGGATGCCCTGGAGCTTCGGACCCCATTTTTTGGTGCGACAGCGCATGGATGATGTTGAGCTGTTCAATCCTAGGATTATCAAAAATCCATGTCTAGTCATCTAGTCTGTCCTGTTGATTCCTGAGGCGTTTTTTTCGGCCAAGCGTTTTAAGCGTTTTTTTGTTCAAGGGGCGACATGATTTCTTTTGGTGGATCCAACCCCAACATGTCCCAGGGACCTTTCTTGTGGTATGTGGAGGTGCCATAGATTTCTTGGATGTGAAACATAAATCAGACTAGCTGCCAGAACATGTTTATGCCGATATTTGTGTGCCATGCTCAAAACCCTGGTTTGCTTTCCCACAGAAGGGGATTCTCATCTTCCCACTGATAGACAATAGGGATTACACTCTTGTAAATTAGCATAGACCCTGAAAATGTCCAATTTATAGTGGAAACTAGTCTTCCAACCCCTATCTGGCAGGGTCTATGTTAATTTACTGGAGGGTAATAGGGGCTAATATATAATATACCCATGATGACTCATGATAAGGGGATGACAATACCCCATATACCCCATGTACCAAGTTTAGGCCATAACACGTGTATGTCGTTCCTCTTGGCAAGTGGGTTTCCACTGCCATCAACTGTCATGAAATTATATATGTACACACAGTGCACTGGTGTACTTGATGACTATGATTATATACCCGATTATAATATCGTGGTATATGTGATTATTACTATATAAATATATTATATATGTATATATACACACATTTGATTAACCAACCCCTGCTGGTGCATGCTTCTCAAGGTCTGTCTCGGCTTATCTCGGTCTACCGTTAGCTACAGGGTTTGACAACAGGCTGTCGCCAGCCTGCGCTGCAGGGGAAGATGTTCTCGCGCAAGGACAAGAGTGACAGCCCTCGGCCCTCCTGAAGGACGGGCGATCCAGAGTCAAACATGGCCATGGTGACAATGCTTATTACAGGCGGTAAATCATCGGTCATTTTCCACTGACCTAGAGGGTACTGTACCAGGAATGCTTATCATCTCCATCTTTTTTGCCCGGTGTGATGGTGGATGAGTTGTCGTAATCACCCTTGGGGTTTCCTAAGAGGGAATTGAAAACACCCATGTTTTTGGGGACCTCCCATTTGAACAGAAACCCTCACATGACTAAAACGCCTCTGAAACCTCGTTTCCAGGACTAGAATCTCTTCGGGACGTTGATGGAGCCTTCCATTTTCTGTGCCTGGAAAAGGGTCAATTATACTCCCCAAAGTGGCACTTTTTAAGAGGGAACATGCGGAAAATGATAATCTGAGAACCGATTGGAACTCGTCCATTGAGTCGGTAGACCGGGTTCAGTTCATTCCTGGTTTGTTTAGAATCTGGGAATAAGTATGGAATAAGTATCCCAGATGCTCCATGTATGGAATATTTACCTACATTTACCCCAAAAATGACACAAATGTAGGTAAATATTCCATACATGGAGCATCTGGGTATGGCAATCAGAGTCATTGCTTAATAATCCAATCATTTCATCACTTCGTGAAGAATCTCGCTCGAACCAACCCACCAACCTGATTCAATTCTGATCTGCTGAACCTCGACTCAACTTGGTCCTGTTTTAAGAAGTTGTCTCACACCAGACACTTATCGCTTTATCGCCCAAAAGAATCCAGAGCCTAGGGTTGCAGCAAGTGTTGGGAGGTGTTGGTGCAGAATGTGGTGGATATGCTCCACTAAAATCACTAAACTTTGCAAAGAAAATAGACACATGATGTAGAGGATTCACAGTATCTCCTGCTCATTCGATGATCTTTCAGGATTGTACTAAGTGACAGCCAAAGGGCGTCAATTGTTTCGAGCAAATTGGCGCCCATTACTGTACGTTGAGGATTGCTATCACAGAATTGGATGATCGGAAATTTCACAGGAAACCCTATATGTCATGGTAAAACCATGGTTTCCTGAAGATTTTCCCTGAACCAATCCATTGATACTTGCTTTGGCAATCAGCAAGAAGCCAGGCATGTTGTTGCGACTCTGAGAAAGCTGGGAATCGCGAATCCACAGGGCCGGGAAGCCTTTCTGCGCCTCTGAGATGATGGTAAAAATTTTCGATGAGGCATGAGAGGTTGATGTAACTCCCATTTAAGATAGCAAAACGATGGTAAATCACGGGTAATTTCACAAAGATGACCCATTTAGTTCGATGACTTTCCCAATTGCCAATGACTGGTGATTTTCCATAGCAATGTAATCAAATTACTCAAGTGTCAGAGCTACGCGTTGCCAAAGGGATGAACTCCATGCACAAAGCGGCGTCTCTGAGGTCTGATGCTGAGGTGGCCGTTTGAATCGCCGTCGTTGTGGTGTAATGGGCAGATACAGAAACCCCCCATAGCCCCCATTCCTTTCGGTCATTTTGATAGGCCATGCAAATTTTATCATTTTTTTCTGGCTCACTTGTTGCCCCAGGATTTTCTGCCCATCTAAAAGTGGTGATTGACCTTTAGGATACCCCAAAGCGAGGGAATGAAGTCAAGTCAAGCTGATGTGATCAGGCGCTTCAATCGGCCTATCGATTTTTTCCGATTTGTTTCGTGCTCTCAGACTTTGTGTGGCACGGCTACATGTGTTTGCTTCAAGGCAGTTTTCCCTGCAGCGCTTTTTTAGAACCGTGGCACACAACAAAGTGGGAGAGTTCCGTGCTCGCCAGCGTGCATGTTGCGAGTTTACTTCTTCGACCTGCCAAAATCCTGTGGAAAACAATGGCAAATCAGGTCATGCCAGATGATTCCTCTTGAGCACTTGAAGAAATCTGAAAAAAAGAGTTGCCCATCTATTTGGCTATGGATCAATACAGTACCTAACAATACCATTTTTAGGGGGATGGACATTCATGAATCCAAGTGATTTTGATGTGAACAGAAGGGGTACCTTTAGGGCCCCATTTGGGCAGGTTTCGAAGAAACGACTTGCATGAATTGTTGGTTGTGTTGAGATCTTGGTTAGCCAAGGGCAATGACATCTGAAGAGGCTAGTCTGGCTGGTGGTTTTGAGGTTATTTTTTTGTGTTTTTTTTGTCATGTTCCATCATGTTCCAGCTCAACATGCCCGGGAACCACCAGCCAAGAATGGGTTTAATGGCTAGAATTCCATCATTTTCCATGCGATCTTTTCCAAGACAGGAGGCATGAAGCGAATCTTGCATCCTGACACAAAGCAGTGAAAAAACAGCGTTTCAGCCAACAACTGTGGTTTTGGTGTCGCTGATCTGTTGGTCGGTTCGTGAATCGGGCCATTTCAGTCTATGAAATCAAGCACCAGACTATAGTTGAAGGAAGCCATGCTTTAAAGATGTTTTAACATTAGTAGGTCACAGATGGTCAAGGTAAGGCGGGACGTGGTTTATCTTTTGACATCTAACCCCCATTGAAGTTGGACCAAGTTGGCCAAATTCTTCGGTACCCAAGTGCTTTTTTGTCCCGTGACCGGAAAGCATCTGGCAACAGAGGGGATATTGGGCATGTGAGAAGGGACCATGCGGAAATAGAACTTGTATCCAGTGTGGATCTCACCTAGGGGTGTGCTATTGTGGCACTATGTATGTCATTATGTATACAAAATCCTGATTATATAATCATGTATATGCATTGTATATGCTATAACATGCATAGAGATTGGATATACTCATTCTGTTTTGTATTCCCACTATGTGATGGATGACTATACGCTATATGTTGCTTCTTTTCCCAAATACCTTTTAGACAAATCCCTCGAACATCAAGCTGGTTTAATTTTCCTGCGGCAATCAAACATTAAACATGGCTTGCTAGAAAATCCACCATTTATAGATGATTTTCCCAGCTATAAACCTCCATTTATAGAAGATGTTCCCACATTTTCCCATGTTTTTCCTATTAAAACCATTTAACACCGGTAAAATGATAGAGGATTTTCCATTTCTACGTTTGAATCGAGCCACCATGAGCCACCCCGGCCGCAGATACCCATAGATAATTAGATACCCCTCCTGCCATCCAGATGGTCTTGTGTTGCATGATATTATGATATTATGATATTATGTGACATGGTCTGATATTGTAGTTGTAGATAGTTGTAGTACAAACATAATATAAAATATACAGTAATCATGCCACACCAGATCATCGTACATTATATCATATGATATCTATGATATTGTAGTTGTGTTTTTGATAACATTGTTGTACTTTTCATTCTTGACCCATCCGAAACATGAAAAAAAGTCGATTCGAAAAAACATCTGGAAGTCACGGTTCCCAAGCCCCAGCTGATCCGTGGCTCCAGCTTTTGTAATGCACTGAATTTCTACAAGCGTTACCCCAAAAGATAGAAAAAATGAAAACCCTACAAAGATAGTGATACATAGTGGGCGTGCACTTATAGTTATATTATACATATATAATATATACCGTGTTAGTCTCAGCAATGAGATAAATCATTTCGGAACTGACTCTTCGAATTCCATCATTTTGGACAATGTGATTGGTGACCCCCCCGAGAAAAGTGGGCTTCCAGTAGATTATAATTGGATGTCTGGTTGGTGGTGTTAACTTGTACGGGTCATCCGGGGAACCACTTGCATATGCGTGCAAGCGTGTCAGGTTTTGCGGGGTTCCCCTCAGAAATATCAATATGTAGACGCTGGTAAAACCCAAGATTTGGGGGGCCGATAAAACAGCATATACATATATGGTACCATAACATATTCATAATATACCTTTAGATTTCCACAACTATCTTACCACTCGTGGGTCACTAGACGCCTATGATCGATCAGGCCCTTTCCCACTCAAAGTCAAAATTCCTGTTTTTCCGGTGTCACGCGTGGCGGACTGGTCTCAAGAAGTTCGTAGACAGTTCTGCAAGCACTACGAGCTGAGCTTTGCAGGGCTTCCTGGACTAGCAGTTTTTTCGGTTGTGACATAGCAAAAAAAAACATGAGTTTGGAGCGAGTTTGGACTGAGTTTGGAGACTCTCCAAACTCGCTCCAAACTCATTCCTCTTTTCCAAAAAAAAGAGTAAAATAGAAAAACATGAAATCCTTTGAGTTTGGAGCGAGTTTGGGGTGAGTTTGGAGAGAGTTTGGAGAGAATTTGGAGAATCTCCAAAGTCACTCCAAACTCATTCCTCTTTTCCAAAGAAAAAAGTAAAATAATAATTTTAAAAAAACATATGAGCTTGGAGAGAGTTTGGAGAGAGTTTGGAGAGAGTTTGGAGAATCTCCAAACCCACTCCAAACTCATTCCTCTTGTCCAAAAATATATATAAATAGAAAAAGAAAATAGCAACAGAAAAAATGAAATCATTTGAGTTTGGATCGAGTTTGGAGTGAGTTTGGAGAGAGTTTGGAGAATCTCCAAACTCACTCCAAACTCATTCCTATTTTCCCCCAAAAAGATGACATTTAAAAAAATAGAAATATATGAGCTTGGAGCGAGTTTGGGGAGAGTTTGGAGAATCTCCAAACGCACTCCAAACTCATTCCTCTTTTCCAAAGAAACAATGAAAAAACAAAAAACAATGAAAACATATGAGTTTGGTCACTCCAAACTCACAAAGAAATCTTTGCTTGATGTCATTTTTCCAAAAAAAACAAAAAATGAAAAATGAGTTTGGAGAATCTCCAAAATCTTTCCAAACTCAAAAAAATATATGCGTGCACAACTTTTTTTTGAGTGGCTGCATGCATATTTTGTTTGAAAAAAAGTTGCGCACGCATATTTCTTTTGAGTTTGGAGAGAGTTTGGAGATTCTCCAAACTCATTTTTTCCTTTTTTTTTTTTTCAAAAAAAACAAATTTTTGAAAAAATACATCAAGCAAAGATTTCTTTGTGAGTTTGAAGCGAGTTTGGAGTGAGTTTGGAGAGAGTTTGGAGAATCTCCAAACTCACTCCAAACTCACAAAGCAATCTTTGCTTGATGACATTTTTCAAAAAAAAAAGAGGAAAAACATAAGTTTGGAGAATCTCCAAACTCTCTCCAAACTCAAAAAAAATATGCGTGCACAACTTTTTTTGAGTGGCTGCACGCGTTTGTTTTGAAAAACAAGTTGTGCGCGCATATTTTTTTGAGTTTGGAGAGAGTTCGGAGATTCTCCAAACTCATTGTTTCATCTTTTTTGAAAAAATCCTTTTCTTTTTTAAATGACATCAAGCAAAGATTTCTTTGTGAACTTGGAAACTCACTCCAAACTCATATGTTTTCATTTTTTTGTTATTTGCTTTTTTTGGACAAGAGGAATGAGTTTGGAGTGAGTTTGGAGATTCTCCAAACTGACTCCAAATTCGGTCCAAACTCATATGTTTTCATTTTTTCTGTTTTATTTTTTTTTGGGAAAAGGGGAATGAGTTTGGAGTGAGTTTGGGGATTCTCTTTGGGGATTCTCCAAACTCACCCCAAACTCAAATGATTTCTATTTTTTTCTCTGTGTGTTTCCCTTTATTGTTATCTTAAACATTTTTTGGGAAGAGAGGAATGAGTTTGGAGTAAGTTTGGAGGTTCTTCAAACTCTCTCCAAACTTACTCCAAACTCGCTCCAAACTCATATGGTTTCATTTTGCTGTTTCTTCTTTATTGTCAACTTATTGTTTTCATTCTTTCCGTTATCTTTACTGGATCTTTTTTAAGAAAAAGGAATGAATTTGGAGGTTCCCCAAAGTCTCTCCAATCTCGCTGAGGGCACTTGTAGCTACTCCGCTGGGACCTGAAATTACATATTCTGGCCCCTTTTTTTTTGGAACATATCAAATAAACCTTGTGCACGCATATCACCCGGAGCGGCTAAGCTCGTGCAAGTTATCAGTTGGTGGTTTGGAATATTTTATAATATTTTGTATTTTTCTATATATTGGGAAACATATTCCCAACTGACTAATATTTTTCAGAGGGGTTGAAACCACCAACCAGATGTTATTGGATGTTGATTCCCAATTCATGTTGGCTAAACTATCCCATCTCCTGGGGGCTTACCCTGTTTCGCCCCCAAAATTGGCTGATGCCATGCGACGCCTTGGGCCTCTCCTGCTGGCCAGCCTGGCCAGCACGGTCAACGCAGCCAACGTGTCACATGGCGCGCCTCGGTTGTGGAGTCTAGACTAGATCGCTGGTTTCTATTTCTGGTATATAGGCTTGTGTAGGCAATTAAATGGCAATCATGGATATTATAGTGATGTATAGTGTCTGTGTGTATGTATATATATATATATTATACAAAAAACCTGTACAACTGACCGTTTATGTGTAAAGGCCTCAAACTTATCATGTTCCGCTGTAACGTTTAATCCACTTATAACTGGGGTGTAACCAGCCCCCCATTCGACGCCTTACAGAACGAAAGTGGGATGATCCACCAAGTAGCTGGAATTCCTATTTGTTTCATATCTTTTTCATGAGATAAAAAGTGTTTTGGAGATTTTTCAGAAACCTTAAACCAGGTTTTTTCCAAGGATTGCTGGATACCACTGGTTTTTGTGGCAAGCTGCGGGTGGGATCCCGCAACGAGGGATCCCGGGATCCCTCAACGGGAGTCTGACGACCCGGTCCATGGAGTTGGATAAAAGTCGAAGTGTTGTGAAAATTGAGTGGAACCATCCTGGAACTCAAAAACTGGTAATTTAACATAGCTATGGAAAATCACCATTTTTAATGGGAAAATCCACTATTAATGGTCATTTTCAATAGCTACGTTAGTCATTACCAGAGGGTAAAAAACTGGTTGACACATAAGACACTTCTTTGAGCTGAACGTTCAGAAGTGCGTTTTGATATTGTTTTGGTTCGCCCGGCCCCCAATTACCAGTACTGTTTTGGTTAGCCTTTTCAAATGGGGGCCCATCGGCCCATCCCCTAGTTGACAAATCCATGATATTCCATGACATATTGCTGGCTATATATCCATCCCATCTATAAACCCATTAGGAATATCATGATATTCCATGACATTCCATGATATTCCATGACATTCCATGATCTATATATATCATAAACCAATTAGTTTGATCAATTCTGGAAGCTGAAAAATCAGGTCTCCAAGCCATAGGTCAATTCTGGCCACAAGGGGAGGAAATTGGTCACCGTCCCAACAAAAGGTGAGACGGTGGCTGTTTCGTCATACGTAGTGACATGATGATTTTAATGTTCTGTAAGGCTACATAGAACTACATAGATATATATAATCAATTATAATCATGGACATGGATGTGTTTTTTTGGGGCCCTTCGCTAACCCTTGTACGACTTTATTTATAGGAATGTTGGGGGCAAAAAAAACGCAGCAGGCTGGCAAGAATATCTTTTTGGTGCGCACGGTCTCAAGCCATCATCTCTAGTGCAGGATCAAGTGTGCAAGGTAGCACGAACGTTACTGCCCCACCCAATCCCAACCCCAACCCCTGTGGGACGGTAAAAGATCCGTTTGCAAAAACAACAAATGCTGAGGTGTGTCAAGACACGGTTGGATGGACCAATGGATACACTGCTTGTCACTTGTCGAGAGGTGCAGACTTTGGTGCTCGAAGGATATTATACGGTCCGGAATTGGGGATTCAAGCATTATTGTTAGTGTATGAAACTATGAACCATATAAGCAGCATGGGGATATGTCATTCGAAATTGAAGGGACGCATACCACCAAAACTATGATATGGGTATGTCGAATCAAAACGCTGGGATTTGCCCGCAAAAATTGCAATCTAAATGGGACGTGATGGAATTCGGGGTATCCCAGTTTCTTTCGTCTTCATTTCGTCTTCCTCTCTTCTTCCTCTTCCTTTTCCTCTCTTCCTTTTCCTCTTTTCCCTTTCCTCTGTGTTCCTCTTTCGTTCCGTGAGGTTCCTATTTCTTGGGGCCCAGGAAGCCAGAAAACCAAAAACGAAGCCAATATTCCATTCCACCAATTTTCCTTCGAGTTTACAGTAATACAGAATTTTTACAGAATTGAATCGTTCATATATTCGCATTGGCAGCGGCTTTGCACACTTCTACAGAAGTGTCCGGATGACAATTCCTCCGGTTTGAACAGCATCTGGTTCGAACCCGCGTGGGTCCGTCTGAAAAAGTTGGTGCAAAAAGGTGTAGGACTTTGTCAATCCCATCATGGAAGGCCGTGACTGACTAGATGTGCCTAGATCCTGCCTCACCTCACTGTGATGAAATGTCAGGCTCCCAAGTGGTTCACATGTTTCTTGTCTTTCCTTCTGGACAAAGGTAACAACTATGTGCCGGTGGACCCTGATTGCCACAAAGATGGTGTGGTTTGCCACTTTTACAAGGCGTGGGGATGCGCGGGGTGTTCGGACCCCGAAAATCGCGTGAAATCGCGGCCGGTGTTTGATGATGTTTGTGGTGTTGCATGGGCCAGTGCTTCATGCATCTCTGTTCGAAGATCCCGGTTTTGGATGGTGTTGGTAGTGTATGGGTCTGTCTGATTCAAGGGTCCCAAGACTTTGCTTTCGCATCATATGTTTGTTGCTATTAACAAATTGCCATGTGGCTATATACTCCATTTCAGACAAACCTATATCCAGGTGGAGAAGCAATACGGATTTTCAGGTGGGTCAAAACCACGTCCAACGTTGTTCAGCGTGGTGGCATTCTCCGCTTGAGACTAGGGTTTTCTCCAAAAAATTGAACCACTTTGCCAGCTTGGCTTGCAATCCTCAAGAAGAGGCAGTTGATACGTTGAATTACGTTGAAAGTTGGGCTCCCACAACAGGGCCCCGATTGGGTGGTTGTCTGAACTTTCAGGATTTTCAGGCTATCCACCATTTTCAGAGCCCAACATCATTGTTGGTTAAATCTCCCATGATATCTCCACGAAATGGAAATGTAATAACCTTGAACCAACATGAACCAACAGGGGTTGTAGAAATCACTCAGCTTTTCAGATGAACCAAATTCCTGCTCTTTCATGGCTTGCCAGGCGCATCCTAGCTTTTGCGCCAAGGGCATGAACGACCCTTGGATGTGTCTTGGCGCCTCTTCAAGCAGATAACATTGCTGTTTTCTTTCCACAGAGGGTGATGGTCATCCGGTAATCCTGCCATTCATTTGGGTTTAATTATAATATATTAATATATATTTTATTATATATTATATATTATATATTATATATTATATATTATATATTATATATTATATATTATATTATATAATATCACATACCTATTCAAAGGTGGTGCGATGACCATACCCCATATACCATGCTATACCATGCTTTGACCATGGCACAGATGGGTTTGTTTGAAATTGGGGCATACTTCCAGCTATTTCATGGGCAAACTGATGACACACCAAAAAAAAAATGGGGACCCTGCCCTGTCTCTAGACAAAAGCTGTCTCAGTGCCAGTCATGTGGAGATAAGTAGCAACTGTTGGCATACAGCTGGTGGTTGCATTTGCGTCTTAGATTAATAACTCAAGTGACTAATAACTAATATGACCAAGGTCTGAAACCCAAGTGACTAATAACTAATGCTCCCTGCAAAAAGGATACTTCGCAAGATTCAGAGAGGACCTAATCATGAAACCAATGGTTTGGGGTACCTCAATTCACAACCATGGTGTCAGAGTTGGATTAATTACGAAACCATTGGGTAGGGGGGATGGGATTAGCCATCATCTTTGATGTTGATGTTGGGGCCTTCAAAGGTAAATCAGCTACCCATGTTCCTGCTTCAAAAACCACTTAGTGCACTTGCTGATGGTAAATGTAATAGTGAAAGAATGGTTAAATGGCAAATTATAATAAACCACACCCTTTACTTAGCCAAATGTATTTAGCTTTATTGTATTAATCCATCATTTTTGGGAACCTACTATTGGGAGTATGTACATTGCATGTATATACAATTATATAAAACATACATTTACATACCATGATACATGCATATATGTACACAAAATTACTATAATAAATATATATATATTATACATATATATATATACATAGGAGTGATATTATATATTATACTATTCACATATATTATGTTATGTGTACATGCATATTATATATATAATATACATATCATATTCGGCCCATGTTCGGCGAATCCATGTTGTTTCCCGGGGAGAAGTTCCTGAGGAACTGCTGCACCTGTGGCGGAGGCTCGGACTTCAATGGGCAACGTCCCACCACGTGGCTCGCAGCGATGGGATGGGAGGTGGCTGCTTACCAAATGGAGGATTTATTCAAACATATGGGTATGGATCAATACCTATCAATACCATTTTTAGGGGGATGAACATCCATTTACCAGCTATTTTGATGTTTACCAGGGGTACCAGGGTTTTGACACACTGCCATATAGAAACATTGGTGCATTGGTATTTTTAGAACATACCATAACATGGATAATTCATGATATATTGTATATTATATATATAATTATGATATAAGCATATTTATGATGTCTGGGAATCTACAGATAAATTTGGAGAACACATACCAACAATTGGGGCATGTCCCATTTTAAAGGCAGTTTAATTGGAGGATGATAAACCATCAGATTTGCGGTCATCCTAGTTTCAGACAAATCCACGTGGAGAAAACTTATGTTGTTTTTTGTTTTCTGGAGATTTAGGTAAACAAAAAATGAAAAACAAGATCCAATGGTCTATCTTCGTTTTTTCTTTGGTGAAATGGCCATTTTGGCGGTATACCCGGTTGTTTCCCAAGGAATCTATGTTTAGATTCACGTGTTTCAATTTCATACAGCCTCCAGCAATCAAACATGGCAACGGACAATTTCCCCATTGACTTGTATGGGATATTTCCCCCTTGAACACCCTCATTGAGATTCCCATTGCCATGTTTGATTAATTACTAAAGGGATCTAAAGGGTAATTTAGTTCACAAACACTTTGAACACCCTCATTGAGATTCCCATTGCCATGTTTGATTAATTACTAAAGGGATCTAAAGGGTAATTTAGTTCACAAACACTTTGGTGAAGTTGACTTGAAACAAAGTTCGAGAAACTAAGTTTGGTGAAGTTGACTTGATTGACTTTCCTGATTGCAATGAATGAAGGATCACCGAGTTTTGCTTCCTGGTCCCTTGTTTTTTGCATCCACGAAATCTGAGACCGTGTCCACACGTGAGGAGAGTCATGGGACTAAAGTAACCCTCATCATGAGAGAAAAGTATAGAAAAGTAACATTTCTCATCATGAAGTGGTGGTAACTTGAAGCTGTTCCGTCCTTGGACGGGCCTCACTATATATCAAAAAACTCAAGAAACTCTGTGCAGAACTTCACCTGGCACCAATGTGGCACCCATGTGGCACCAGTTACAAGTTGACTTATAAACCCATCGGTGAACATATCTCTACATGCATATACCTTTATAATCCTTTATATAGAAATATACCGTCTGGGAAATTGTTACATAGCTATTGAACATGGTCATTTCGTTCGTTGATTTACCTATTAAAGATGGTGATGTTACAGTTCGCTATGTTAGTTTACCAGAGGGTATATCATAAATCATTTCTATAGAAGAAAAACCTAAAAGTTTGGTATCTTCATATTTATAAATGGATAATGGATATTATATATACAAAAGTCCTTAAGGTTCACCAACTTGGCGTATTGGGGGCACCACCTACGGATACCTACTGGCACTGTCCTAAGGCCACCTCCTCCCAAAGTGAAAATTCCCAGCATCTTCGACTGGCTGCCTCTCGGTTCTCCGTGACATAAATTGGTGGATCTAGGGGGAAGGCAGGATAGATTGATGTTTTTAATGAAAATAGATGATGTTCATAGTAACATTCCAGATATAGATTGATGTATTGATCCAGTATAGATATAGATGATTGGTTTTCTAGGGATCGTTGGGGATGTTCCGGAAAAACATGGCCTTCTGCAAACTCTGTCAAACGTGGCATGATCCTGAAAGAAGAAATTTTTGTGGGGTTGAAACCAACCTCCCCAAAGATTGAGATTTTCAAACGCCGAACCATGTTCTAGAGACTGGAGATTGTGCAGAATGGCAGATGTGGATACTATCGATGTTGATCCTAAGCATTTACCATCATGAGACCTGTTATCCTTTTCTTTCATAGTCTTACTGTATCTTCCATACCAGCAAGATCAAATGTTGAAGTCAATCGAAGAAGGTACGCCATTTAGTTTTCCCGTTTCTGTGGAGAAGTGCCTTTGGACGTTGCAAAGCGGAAACAACTACAGGTACTAGTCATCATAATAGATGAGGCAATAGTCACCTCACATCACCTCACTATATATCTATCTATATAAATTCTATATATGTCTATCAATCAATCAATTAATCAATCAATTTATCTATCTATCTAATCTAATTGAATCTAATCTAATCTAATCTAATGCTATCCTATCCTATCCTATTTTATCTATCTATCTATCTATCGATCGATCGATCTATCTATCTATCTATCTAATCTAATCTAATCTAATCTAATCTAATCTAATCTAATTCTATCTATCTATCTATCTATCTATCTATCTATCTATCTATCTATCTATCTATCTATCTATCTATCTATCTAATCTATCTATCCATCTATCTATCTATCTATCTATCTATCTATCTATCTATCTATCTATCTATCTATCTATCTAGCTATAGATCCGTAGTCGCGCTCCAAGAAGCCCAACTGCACCTGGCCCTTTTTTAACAAGGCCTGGCGTGGACAGCATGGAGAAAGAAATGGGTGACTTGCTTCGAAAAGCTTCCTATTGCAATGGGATATTAATATTGGATTTTGTGGGTACCATTATTATTAATAGGGAAGCTACCATTAATTTAATGCACATTTTCATACAACATGATAATATGATACAACTAGTTTTTTTCACGTCAAACACGGGGATATAGGCCCTCATACTTGTACTGTTGGACAAATTTATCCAGATGGATGAACCTCACATCATGTTGCGTCCAGGTTGTTTCATGTTCCCTCATTAAAAAAAAAGAAATTTCATCCCCCCCGCTATGAAATACGCCCCAAACAAAATGTTCATGACTTAGGGATACTTGGCGAGCCATGTCGGGGTTATGAATGTTATCGAAACAGCTGCTCATGGAGCCAAAGTGTGCATCATTTGCAGCAGGGTGAGTCGGTCACATGGCCATCTATTCAGGAAAACCACCATTGTTTAGACAAACCGTGTGTTCACAGCTTGCAAGCTAGTTCTATGTTTTTTTTAACAAAAAAACATATTTGTCGTAGGCAATTGTTAACAATAGAAGCACTCATTGCAAAACCTACCTAAACGTATGTCGATTTCGGCCCCCCCGATGTCACCAGGAAAGATGAAGGCCAAGATGAATAAGCAGCTTGCGCCGTTGCAGAAAGGAATGAAAGAGGCGGCAGAAATGGCAAGTTCCGCCACAATCCGCCACAATCCGCAGGGTGTGTTTGTCCAAAATCTGGAGATTTACCGTTTATATCCTAATTTGCTCGTGATTTTAAAGATTTTTAAAGGGGGAATCATAATATAGATAACCAGTAAAGTAGGATGGGTACCCTAATTAGGGTTTATTTTACTGATGCTTTAAGGCATGGAATTTCAGAGTACCCACTATGTTGAACTGTTCATGGCCCCAGAGAAGAGTGTTGTTTCCGGGGTGGGTAGATGCAAACGGAAAAATCCACAAAGTTGAAAAAAAACGAAATTGAAGCTCCCCTTGCAGTTTGACTTGTGTGATTTGAACTAATTAAAACTATTGTCCCGTATTCTCCATCATTCCCCAATGTGCAGGAGCTCAAGATCCACATATCCATGTTGGCGCCATGAGACCCTGAGAAAACACACGAGGTGTACGCAGGCTTGCGACAGCCCGATTTCAACGCACCTCCGCAACTGGAAGGCAATTCCATGGCTGAGGTGTCGGCCTGGGCTTACCTGTGTTCCTGGGGGGTAGATCTCCCCAGATCGGAATTCATGAAACGGAACGCCATAGGGCCATGAATACATATAAATACACCATCCACAAAATCACCATGGGTGCTACCATCCCTTAAATGGGTCCAAATGGTAGGTGTCCAGTTCGATCCAGAGAGATCCATGTTTCTGCGTACCTTGCCTCAACACATCCCACATTTGCCCAGGGCACCCTTACCAACATGTTTTTGATTTTCGAGGGGTCAAACACGATACCAGATAGATAGCAGATACTGTTTAATTATATACTTTAATGATTTAAGCCATTCTGTATTTGGGTCTTGTGATGAACATCAAGCAAACATGACCCGAACCTGGTGCCAGGTGAACCTGGTGGTTTTCTTCATAGTTCTGATGGTAACAGTTGCAACTTCTCTGGGCTATTTGTTGGAGGTGGGATGCGGGGGGGCCTTCTCTTTGGGATGATTTAAGGGGATATTTGGGGCATGAGAACATGAGAAAAGGTGAGAGTCACCCAATGCCATAAACCATCCCCGGTCATGGTAGGTTGATGGCATTGGGTTTATCACTTTACATGGCTTTGCCATTGTATATAGCACTGCGTAAACTCAACGTTTCACTGATCTTGATTTTTTGACGAAGTGAAGTGACTGTCGGACCGCTCCAACATCATGTCTTGGATCTTTGGATGATGAACATTCAGTTCGTATCAGTTGATGCGTTTACCAGCTATTCTGATGTTCCCCAAAGTTCCAGGGTTTTGCGCCATAGCAAAGTTCTGGTTATTGAGTTATTGGTTGGTAGTTATCTAGATATGGAGGTTTCCTAAAATAGGGCTACCCCCAAATCATCCAAAAATATAGCAGTTTCGTATTTAAACTTATAGCGATTATGGCGTAAATGTTGGGGATCCCCCGTTAGAACCCCCAAAAATATAGGAAAATGACGATGACGATCACCTGATCTCACCGGTTTTAGGGAATATCCTGGAAAACCCTGTTTGTTGGGTAGTATATTTACATGTTTGAAACAAAAAGGTTTTCCAGTTGAGAGTTTCCCAACAAAACCTACCCAACGACATTACAGTTGGCCAGAATTGTTGTTTTTCCGGGTCTTGGCTATGTAACACGTGAATTAACCCATCTACTTGGAGTGGCTTATAACATCTTATAACAATCAACAATTCAAATTCACCACAGTGGTAAGAAATCATAAATATCTTGATATAAAGATTGTAAACTACCATTGTAATAAGATGATATAATAGATATAGAGATTGTAAACTACCATTGTTAGATGATATAACCAATTGTTTACCATTGTTGGTTATATCATATCAACTGTCAGCGGTTCTGAAGACTCCACCGCCTTGCGCTTTGCCAAGCGGAAGCCAATTGGAGGTTCACGGTGATTGCGGAGAGGCACCGGATTGATCTGGGTAAATTATAACGACCTCACTGGATATCATGGTTAATACCCTCTGGTAAACTAACATAGCTATTGAAAATGGCCATTTATAGTGGATTTACCCATCAATAATGGTGATTTTCCATAGCTATGTTAGTTTACCAGAGGGTAAATGTTAATAAGAATAATGAATCCCCAAATGGCCGAACTATTCAGGTGAGTGAAATATATGATCATTGATCCAGATTGATGTAATGGGATACTCGGATACTGTGGATGGAAGAAACCCTGCACCACTTGGTGGATGTACTGTATATCTGTATACTGTAGATGGTTTATACCATTTTAATCCCAATTTTAGAGGAATCCCACATCCACAGTATAACGGCTATATAATGGCGGATTATATATGGGTAAAACTATATCGGAAAATCTTTGATTTACCCTTTGGTATCATCAAATGTGGCTGGCTGGGACGAATTAAATGGAGGTTTACGGGTGTCTATTGTGGATATCACCAACAATATTATAATATATTATAATATGATAATATGCTTCTTTGAATTATAATAATGTACTGCATCCAGATAGATGTTGGTTAATTATTGGTGATATGTTCATATTTGTTAGTAGTTATGTTCCCATTTTTTTGAATCTACCTGCTATATATGTATGACACTTTATGCCACTGACTTCGTTGGTTAACTAGTCTCAACTACTATCAAGTATCCCCAACTATCCCCAACTATCATGATATAAACATATATTATTAACATAGATTAACTATTATTAACATATATTAACTATTATCAACTATAATTAACATATCTTAACTATTGTTAACTATCCCCAAGTATCATCCAGCGATGCCAGCCCCGGGCCCTCCCTACGTAAACGCTGCGGAGGCACATCGCTCTCCTCCATGGGCCACAGCCATGTTGCTCAGCAGCTATGCGACTTGGTTCCATCAATGGTAGCCCAATCGATGAGAGCTGGAGGTACCCCCATGACATCCGGTAGCCGCTCCAGGATGTTAACAACCCTCATGTGGGAACCATGATTTGGAATCATTTGCATAATAATGAGCTATTTTTGTGAGGTACAAGTAAGGGGCAATATGTCAGTCATATAATAAGAATAATGAACAATATTTACAGAACAACACATTTGAAACATACATACAATAGCATTAAATAATTAACGCTACTGTATTTTTGATGCTTTGCATGAATCCGGAAATATATCATAATGGGCAATGAGTTATAATATAATGGGCAATCAGTAGTGGGTCGCCACTTGGGAATTCAGGATAATGGGATGGTTTCGGTCAATCTATGGGTCCCCATGGCTGAGTGATGTGCAGCGATGTGTAGGTGAAAAACCCTTAAGACTGTTCTTATCATGTATAGTTGGTGTTCTTCCTTCAGGATGATTAGTGATATCCCCATAATTACTGGTAGAGTCAATTTTCCACCATGGCTGAACATCCAAATATATACATCTTACATGTTCTGTATACAGTTATATATGTACATGTTGCATTCAGTAACATGCCCAAGCAGGGTTTGAGGATCATCCCACCTAGTAAGTGGTTAATAAACCCAGTTGGCAAGTCCCCAATTCGTGGATTATCCCACTCGTAAGCGACCAACAAATTCGACCCATGGAACCGTTGGATGCTCTGAGGCGTTGCTGGTCCCTGGCTTGACGCAAGTGATTTTTAGCTTCAACATTGTTGTGAATGTTTCTTGGCTGGAGTTGTCCCCCACTGGTGGGCCTATGAAGGTTGATGACCATGCCCCAATCTTGGCAATTTACCCAGATCTTGAGCATGACAGATAGAGATAAAAAACATATATAAAACCACAATATATATATACACGTACATATATATATATATATATGTAATATATACGTATATATATAATAGATATATATATATATACACATTATTTATAGAATCCAATCATTGACTCTATCTAAATGTGTGTATATTGGTAACATTGTGGTGATGGCTCTGTTTCCAACTGCGATAAAACCGGGAAATCACCAGGTCGGAGAAGAATAATTATCAAGGCCCCGCAAATTGTTGGTTTCATCAATTCAACTATATTCATCAACTATATATGTGAAATTCTTTGTTTGATAAATTGTTGATTCTATCATGAATTCTTCAATGTTCATATTTTGGAGGATCATCCCCACTGATCTGGAGAAAATCTTTGCAAGCTGCCATGGCGAGCCATGCGAGAAATCCCCTGAGGTTCTTGGGCACCGCATTGACGTCCAACCGGAGAAGGGTCACGTTGCGTGCAGCTCGCTGGGATTGCAGCTACAATCAGCTTCCCCTTGTACTCTAAATACCTCCCGAAATGAATCCCGGGTCTTGTATTGGATTCATGACTTGGGAGACCGAAAAAAAGTGGAATCTAATTATATCATATATTGATATATATATATATAATTATATAGATTGATATTAGGGGGCTGGGATTAGCCTATATTTGGTTGTTTTCTTGGGACAGGTGATAGACCTGCACTGCAGACACAGGTATTGAAAGTGATCCAAATAACTCTTAGTTAACTTAATTGGTATTCATCAACATGCTTGTTTGTTCATCAAGTCATAGCTACACCATCCTCCAGTTCTCCCCCCGGCCATTTCTGCGACCTCAGGTACCGAGACAATCAGCGGCTTGGTGGATCTATTGGAACGCACTGGGTCCAGGTGGGGTCAACGCTTGGGGTATACCCCCAGCTATTTGAATGGGAAAATGATGATGGTCCATGGGGTGAAAATAGACATCCTATTTTCAAACAAACCCATTTGGATGACGTATTTTTTTAATGCATATTAAATTATTAATATGAAAGTTTTGCATCTACACACATGTTTGAGTGCCATTGTTGGTTTCACCTTTATGTGAGAGGGAGTGGGGCAGGACTGGTGCCGTGCTGATCGTCCTCTATGCTGTGGTGGTTCCCATTCTGAAGCTGGTTCTCTTGGCCGTGGCTGAAGTCTTCAGGTGTTCTGCCGAGCCAAAATTCAAGGTGGCTCTAAACCCCCCTTGTATGGCAACCCCCAAAAAGACAGAAAGGTACATCAATTCAAACTAAAATAGTGATAAAGTATGAAAATGTATTTCTCTATGATTTTGGGGTTTTACTGCTGTGAACTCTTCATTTCATTTGGACCGAAGATTGACCAACACTGCGATGCTTCTTGCTGTTTCTTCGCAGGTACTCCCGCATTCCTGGATGTGCAACCTTGATGCAGAGTTGTGTCCTGTTGTGTGGGTTGGGTTCATGACAGGATTCCTCAGGGGAAATTTAACAATTGTTTGTTTCGTATAGAACTGTTGCAGCAACAGTCAGCGGTCCAAAGCGTGTGACCTAGGAATTGTCACATGGATGCGAGTTTTCACATCCATGGTTTAAGGACATTGTTCTATCACAATTTCGGTATCCAGAATTCGCTGGGTATCTCCAGTGCTCCATTCACCAACATGAATCCTATGATGGGTCAAAAGCATTACTGTAATTTAAAAAAAACTTTAACACTTACACTACCTTAAATAAACTTAGACCTAGAAAAGCAATACCACTAAACAAACATAGACCTAAGGGGGTAGCCTTACCATACACGTGAGCAACGAAAAAAACAGGCTGCAACTCAGATTTCAGCTAACATAGACCTACAAAATCCAGCCATGTTGGCTATCATGATACAAAACATGGAAAAATGGAGGCATGACAGCTTGATTGAAATGCATTTACATACCTGCACTTTGCAACGCAACAGCTGTGAAGACCACAAACGTAGACCTGATCACCTGATTCATACCTGATGTTTGGGAGCATTTGGCATTGTGCAAGGTTTCACAGCAAATTTCAATTAAGTCTATGTTAGTATACTTCCATCACCAGTGACGTCTTAGCTTCTAACAATTCTTGTGCTTCACATGCTTCTAAGACTCTACACACTTAACCATGGTCAAAGCAATTTGGAGTTGCAAACAAAGATCTAGTACGGTAAATCCATGGACTTGTGGAAAATGGCCCTTTTATAGATGATTTTCCCATAAAACCTCCATTTATAAGGGATTTTCCATGGCTATGTTAGTCATAACCAGATGGTACCCCCTAGTAAACTAACATAGACCCTGAAAATCACTATTTTTTAATGGACATGAATCTTCCAACCCCTGTCTGCCAGGGTCTATGTTAATATACCAGAGGGTAAATCCATGGATTTGCGGAAAATTGCACATTTATAGATGATTTTCCCATTAAAACCTCCATTTATAAGGGATTTTCCATGGCTATGTTAGTCATAACCAGATGGTACCCCCTAGTAAACTAACATAGACCCTGAAAATCACTATTTTTTAATGGAAATGAATCTTCCAGCCCCTGTCTGCCAGGGTCTATGTTAATATACCAGAGGGTAAATCCATGGATTTGTGGAAAATGGCACATTTATAGATGATTTTCCCATTAAAACCTCCATTTATAAGGGATTTTCCATGGCTATGTTAGTCATAACCAGATGGTACCCCTAGTAAACTAACATAGACCCTGAAAATCACTATTTTTTAATGGACATGAATCTTCCAACCCCTGTCTGCCAGGGTCTATGTTAATATACCAGAGGGTAAATCCATGGATTTGTGGAAAATGGCACATTTATAGATGATTTTCCCATTAAACCCTCGATTTATAAGGGATTTTCCATGGCTATGTTAGTCATAACCAGATGGTACCCCCTAGTAAGCTAACATAGACCCTGAAAATCACTATTTTTTAATGGACATGAATCTTCCAACCCCTGTCTGCCAGGGTCTATGTTAATATACCAGAGGGTAAATCCATGGATTTGTGGAAAATGGCCCATTTATAGATGATTTTCCCATTAAAACCCCATTTATAAGGGATTTTCCATGGCTATGTTAGTCATAACCAGATGGTACGGTCAATCCATGGATTTGTGGAAAATGGCCCATTTATAGATGATTTTCACATTAAAACCTCGATTTATAAGGGATTTTCCATGGCTATGTTAGTCATAACCAGATGGTACCCCCTAGTAAACTAACATAGACCCTGAAAATCACTATTTTTTAATGGACATGAATCTTCCAACCCCTGTCTGCCAGGGTCTATGTTGATATACCAGAGGGTAAATCCATGGATTTGTGGAAAATTGCACATTTATAGATGATTTTCCCATTAAACCCTCGATTTATAAGGGATTTTCCATGGCTATGTTAGTCATAACCAGATGGTACCCCCTAGTAAACTAACATAGACCATGAAAATCACTATTTTTGAATGGACATGAATCTTCCAGCACCTGTCTGCCAGGATCTATGTTAATATACCAGAGTGTCAATCCATGGATTTATGGAAAATGACCCATTTATAGATGATTTTCCCATTAAAACCTCCATTTATAAGGGATTTTCCATGGCTATGTTAGTTATAACCAGATGGTACCCCCCTAGTAAACTAACATAGACCCTGAAAATCACTATTGTTTAATGGACATGAATCTTCCAACCCCTGTCTGCCAGGGTCTATGTTAATATACCAGAGGGTAAATCCATGGATTTGTGGAAAATTGTCCATTTATAGATGATTTTCCCATTAAAACCTCCATTTATAAGGGATTTTCCATGGCTATGTTAGTCATAACCAGATGGTACCCCCTAGTAAACTAACATAGACCCTGAAAATCACTTTTTTTTTAATGGACATGAATCTTCCAACCCCTGTTTGCCAGGGTCTATGTTAATATACCAGAGGGTAAATCCATGGATCTGTGGAAAATGGCACATTTATAGATGATTTTCCCATTAAAACCTCCATTTATAAGGGATTTTCCATGGCTATGTTAGTCATAACCAGATGGTACCCCCTAGTAAACTAACATAGACCCTGAAAATCACTATTTTTTAATGGACATGAATCCTCCAACCCCTGTCTGCCAGGGTCTATGTTAATATACCAGAGGGTAAATCCATGGATTTTTTGAAAATTGCCCATTTATAGATGATTTTCCCATTAAAACTTCCATTTACAAGGGATTTTCCATGGCTATGTTAGTCATAACCAGATGGTACCCCCCTAGTAAACTAACATAGACCCTGAAAATCACTATTTTTTAATGGACATGAATCTTCCAACCCCTGTCTGCCAGGGTCTATGTTAATATACCAGAGGGTAAATCCATGGATTTGTGGAAAATTGCCCATGATGATGTTCCCATTAAAACCTCCATTTATAAGGGATTTTCCATGGCTATGTTAGTCATAACCAGATGGTACCCCCTAGTAAACTAACATAGACCCTGAAAATCACTATTTTTTAATGGACATGAATCTTCCAGCACCTGTCTGCCAGGGTCTATGTTAATATACCAGAGGGTCAATCCATGGATTTGTGGAAAATTGCCCATTTATAGATGATTTTCCCATTAAAACCTCCATTTATAAGGGATTTTCCATGGCTATGTTAGTCATAACCAGATGGTACCCCCCTAGGAAACTAACATAGACCCTGGAAATCAATATTTTTTAATGGACATGAATCTTCCAACCCCTGTCTGCCAGGGTCTATGTTAATATACCAGAGGGTAAATCCATGGATGTGGAAAATGGCCCATTTATAGATGATTTTCCCATTAAAACCTCCATTTATAAGGGATTTTCCATGGCTATGTTAGTCATAACCAGATGGTACCCCCCTAGTAAACTAACATAGACCCTGAAAATCACTATTTTTTAATGGAAATGAATCTTCCAGCACCTGTCTGCCAGGGTCTATGTTAATATACAAGAGGGTAAATCCATGGATTTGTGGAAAATGGCCCATTTATAGATGATTTTCCCATTAAAACCCTCCATTTATAAGGGATTTTCCATGGCTATGTTAGTCATAACCAGATGGTACCCCCTAGTAAACTAACATAGACACTATTTTTTAATGGACATGAATCTTCCAGCCCCTGTCTGCCAGGGTCTATGTTAATATACCAGAGGGTAAATCCATGGATTTGTGGAAAATGGCCCATTTATAGATGATTTTCCCATTAAAACCTCCATTTATAAGGGATTTTCCATGGCTATGTTAGTCATAACCAGATGGTACCCCCTAGTAAACTAACCTAGACCCTGAAAATCACTATTTTTTAATGGACATGAATCTTCCAACCCCTGTCTGCCAGGGTCTATGTTAATATACCAGAGGGTAAATCCATGGATTTGTGGAAAATGGCCCATTTATAAACTAACATAGCAATGAAGACCTTTAGAGATTTTGTCTCAGATTCCGTTGGAGAATCAGGCAATTAACATAGACCTGCGTCAAAATGCTTCAAAAACCAAATTATCCTAACATGACTTTGTTCTGCACGGAACTTTGGTGTACTAACATAGCACATGTGTGGTGGTTGGTTCAAAAAGGTATCCTAACATAGGTTTTTGAGATGTTTGTTGTAAATGCTGTCAATGAAGACTTTTAGAGGTTTTGTCTAAGATTTCGTTGTAATTAAGAATATTAACATAGACCTGTGTCAAAATGCTTCAAAATGCTTCAAAAACCAAGTTATCCTAACATGACTTTGTTTTGCACATATTCGTTTTCTAGGGCTAAGTTTATTTAACCTAGAGTAAACATCCTAAACATGATCAACCCCCTCCATCATAGGAAACACTAGTCCCTCAGTTCCTCAGTTCCTTTTAAAATCTGTCAAATATCGCGAAGATCGCCGGCCAATTGAGGTGAGCATCTCCAGGATCTGTATCATCCTGGTGCAAAGCATCTCCAAGTGGGCCTGTCCAGGGGCCCCAGGTGAGTCAGGTGAGTCTGCCATGGCACGGGCTTCTGGGGTTTTACCCTCTGGGAAACGTTTGGCCCGTTTGCGAACTTGAAAATGGCCCAGTTGAAATAGTGGATGCTCATGGATTTTCCATGATTTTCCCATGAAAAATGGTGATTTTCCATAGTTATGGGACAGTTTACCAGAGGGTAGCAACCCCAACTTGGGCATATGCTATCCCCGTGGTGCCCCCGACTTCCTTTGATGAACTGTTGGCTGGATGATGGGTTCAGTTGATTGGGGGTTTATTACCTGGGGTCGGGTTCCAGATGACAACACAGCAAATCTTCAAAGACAATTTGTTAAGAAATGAGATATTGTATATATAGACACATGATGTTTATAGGATGACATCTATAAATGGATATTGTATCATCCGACAAATTTGTTGATCACCAAATATAGATGACAACACACATCATCCAATTACACCCAGACATGTAGACTCGATGACTCAAGAGAGAGATCAAATTTGGTTTCCAAGATTGGCAGCAGATGAGGTCCAGACATGTTCGCATACATTCTACTGGTGCACTTAGTGCGGCTGCTGAACAACGGTTCATTGATCTTGACGGCAGCGAAACTTGAAGATTAATGGAAGAGAGGGCCTTTCTTTGTTTTATCCTGGTCAAAGCCCTAGCACATCAAAGATATATAATTATTAGTTAAGGGTTGAGACTCCATGGTTTTTGCATTCCGGCCACAAGTTCTTTTTGGTGTATCCATTCTGCTGTGGATCATGATAGTGAAGCAGTCATTGCAATCCTGGATTGGCTGGCAAGTTTCTGTTCGTCCTTAGTGTTCGAGCAATTGGGCATGGTGAAAAAAATATGGATTTTCCAATAGACAAGACGGCAGACGGCAGAAGATGATTTTTTTTGGCAAATCCCAAGCCTCACCAAGTCGGGACAACAGCTGCTTGGGCATGATCAAGTTTCGAGCCGAGGAAACTGGATGTTGGTTTCTCTTGCTTCAGTGCTTTTTGTGTTTGCTCGACCATCTCGTAGCTTGGTATGATGACTGGGGGGGTCTTCAAAGGGGAGGATCCCCAAATCATCCATTTATAGATGGTTTTTGCTTTACAAATCATCCATTTATAGAAGCATTGTCCATTATAAATCATCCGTTTATAGATGCTTTTTGCTTTACAAATCATCCATTTATAGAAGGATTGTCCATTATAAATCATCCATTTATAGATGGTTTTTGCTTTACAAATCATCCATTTATAGAAGGATTGTCCATTATAAATCATCCGTTTATAGATGGTTTTTGCTTTACAAATCATCCATTTGTAGAAGGATTGTCCATTATAAATCATCCGTTTATAGATGGTTTTTGCTTTACAAATCATCCATTTATAGAAGGATTGTCCATTATAAATCATCCGTTTATAGATGGTTTTTCCATTATGAATCATCCATTTATAGAAGGATTGTCCATTATAAACCATCCATTTATAGATTGATTTTCCATTACAAATCATTCATTTATACAAGGATTAAGTAAACTAAGTAGATTAAGTAAACTAAGTAGATTAAGTAAACTCAGTAGATTAAGTAAACTAAGTAGATTAAGTAGATTACATAAGTAAATTAAGTAGATGAAGTATAGTGAGTATAGTGAGAGTCATTTAGCCCAATCCAACTCCAGCCCAGATATTTCTTATGATTCTTTCCGCACCCCCGAAAAAAAGGATTCACCAAAGTTGTCATCCAATTGAGGCCCAGAAATGAAACTTCTTCCGGAAACCCTCCCATGTTTTCCTTAGATTTTCCAAAAGATGTTCCGAAGAAAAAACCACAGCGGGCTCCAGCGGGCTCAGGTCCTTAGGCATTCGCCTACCAGAGATGCCGGGACAAAGTTCCAGGAACCGCAAAAATGATTGGTTGAAGCAGCAAGCATCGTGAGTTTTTTTTACAAAAAAAAACATGAGGTGATGATCAGTAAACATGAGGTGTTAGTCAGTAAAAAATCGTTTTCACCAGTGAAAATATAGGTTTTAAGCAGCCAGGAACGAGAGGATATAGTTGATAACATTTGATAAATGATGGTTAGTCGATGAATTGTAGGGATGCCCTGCAGATCCAGTAAATTTTACAGACCGATACGGTTTTCCAAGGAAAATGGTGGGTGTTCCCTACTATCTATGGCATCTATGGTACTTTACCGGATGCTATTGTGAACATAACTGTAAACAGTGCTAAACAAACATATGTGTTGCTCTTAGTTCAAGATGATGGATATCTTTGTCATTCAGTCAGCCAATCAAAGTACGTGTCATAACCGTTAGGCTTTGTTGGAAAGAAAATCCTTGGCCCCATGACGGAATACAATGGATAGATTGGAAGAGAGATTGGACATTATATATAATTAATTATATATAATTATATATAATTATATACAAATTATCTATATATATATATTATACACATAAAACATTTGTTGGTGAATTCCACCATTTATCATCATATTTGACATGAATCATGGGCTATAACAATGGGGTACAGTATATGAAGCCAGTTTTTCATAGTGGCATCCCCTGGTGCCAGGAAGAGCTACTGCCTGGGCAGTCCAGCGGTATATGCGTTGTCGATGCTGCTGGCAGGAGCCTTTGCAGCTTGGACGCCATGGGGATCAAGCCACAAATAGGTAACTGGTGGGTCACTGGGGTTAGTTTACAAGTGGTTATAAATGGATATAAATAACCAGTTTATACAAGTTTAGCCATTTATATCCATTATATGGGACTCATATTTATAAATGGATACAAATGGATATGAGTCCCATATAATGGATATAAATGGCTAAACCACTAGGTTAGCCATTTATAAATGGGATAAGCCACTGAACTTACCACCAGGTCACCAGGGTTTGGGTTTCTAGATGTCTCTTTGATTGGATTGAGGTACAGTGTACCTTCTGGTAAACTAACATAGCTATGGAAAATGGAGGAGAATGGTCCATTTATAGATACAGTAATTTACCCAGTAAGAATGGTGATTTTACGTAGCTATGAAACATTTACCGGAGGGCCCTCTGGTAAACTAAGACAGATATGGATTGTCTTCCATGCGTAGATCATGTCCAAGGAAGACTATTGAATTTCACAACTATGCAAATGTTTCTATACTGGAGGGTAACTATCCATAACTTAACTGGCCGAACTTTGCAGGTTAGTACATTGTCGTAGTTTCAGCCAGATTTATTTGTCCGAGTGTGTCTGAATATAGGCTATACCTCCAGGCCATGGCCATTGGGAAACATGATTATTCAGGGGATTCGGGAACAGGAACCACGATTGGAGGATTCAGCAAGACTCACCTGGGTATCAAACCAGTGGGGATCAGGCAGAATCCCGAAAGAGGTTGCGATTTCAGGTCAAGCATGACATGTTCTTTGGCTGATGTTATTCTCGACATGTTCTTATAAAGTCATAGCCCAAAAATTGATGTCTATGACATGTGAAAATCATATTGGGCTATGATTGGGCTATGATTTTATGAGAACATGTAATGTATATGCATATATATATAATTTCTACTGTACCCAGAAATGTCCGCAATACAGTACCAGGTGTTTTTATTGTAAAAGGATACAAAAGGACTGTTTCTGGATGATTTTTTGGACCATCCATTAAACAACTTCCACAAAAACTTCAGTTGAACTGTGTTCAATGCATCCCCTGATTTGCTTTTGGGATTTCTGGAACCCAGCAAAATACCCAATGAATGATGTTTCATAGAGACCAGTAATGAGACCTGGCTGTTTCTTCAGCCGATTTTCCCATAAATTCCAGGTGTTGAGGTAACCAGCAGTGCCTTGAACGAGGTATGTCTTTTTGCCGTGGGCATTTACTTGCCATGCATGGCGTTGAGGACTTCAAGACGGGGGAGTTGCCATGGCTTTCATTGGTGTACCATAGGGATCCATAGGGCCATAGGGTATAGCTGGGTGTAGGGCCTTAGTCCTTGCTTTCCAACCATACCCCACCCAAGAAAACTTTAGATATGTTGATTTTTGAGTAAACTTTAAACAGTTATATAAGTAGTTTAATACAAGTTTAAATATATAATATGTTGCCCGTCACAGGGATATATTGATGTATCAAATTGTATCAAGCTAACCAACCAAAATTGTAGTTTGCAGGCTATCTGAGAATAGGTTGCAACAATATGACTTGATTTCTGGTACTAAACCCTCATTCATTTTCATGATTTCTCCCATCAAATACTGTATTGTGTGAGAATTTCGGTGCCTGAGTACCCCCCAAAATCCATTGGGAATTTCGGCGCCAGGATCGACGAACGTCAGCTCTACCCACCCAATGGGTCGGTGCCCTACAGCGCCAAACCCCTGGTGGAGGCTTGGAAAGTGGGGGAAGGGAGGTATGGAGGGAGATATGGCGAATTTCCACAGAAATTCCCGTGGATTCTATGGTTTCTTATGGTTTAGTATTGTTTAGTCAACAAGATTGAGCAGCAAAGTGGTTTAATCAACGAAAATGGAGGATAGTTATAACCAGCAAACTTAGACTTAGAATCTCCAACGTGAGGATAAGATTCAATCCATGTAAGCCAGCAGCAAACTCAGATATCCAAAGATGAACAGAAAGACATCACCCTTTCGAATTGGACATTTGAATAGTTTGATCGAATAGCAATCTTTTGGGTCCATAGCCACCATTTTGAGCCTTAGGGCCTTATCCATTTGATGAGGAGAATCCTTCGGGATCTCGTCTCGAGCATTCGAGGATAGAGTTGACATGTCCTGTAAGCACCTTTCAATGCAAGCTGAAATTCCAAGTATTTTTAGTACCCTCTGGTAAACTAACATAGCTATTGAACATGGCCATAGAAATAGTGGAATCACCCATTGAAAATGATGATTTTCCATAGTTATGTTAGTTTACCAGAGGGTATATTCCAAGATATTCCAAGTCATTTAGTATATTCCAAGATCTATGTTCACTTTTTGATTCCAAGATATTCCAATTGTGTTTAGTTTAAAATACAGTACAGCTGGAATTGGATTGATCCCTTCCGCCAGGCGAAGTTACGTGGATTTCTTGTCCCATAAAGAGGGATCATTAATCCGTTCCCCCTAATAATCTGCTTGGTGGTTTGGAACCGAGTTTTTTTCCATATATTGAGATATTGAGGTTCAATTTGGGTTCCATATATTGGATTAAGATATGTTCCATATATTGAGTTCAATTTGGAACATGGGTTTATTTGTTTCCATATACTGAGAATAGTAACCCCAACTGACTATTGTGATTATTTTTTCAGAGGGGTAGGCTCAACCACCAACCAGTAATTAAGCACCCCCTTGGAAACCCTGCGTTTAGTATTGGATCTATTCATTGCGGGGTCCAATCTGGATGGGATGAATCATCTTTGGATGGGAGTAATCACATTACTCCAAATCAATCCATGGTAATTCCTACTAATCCATACCAATCCATACTAATTGGATATGAGATTTGCACCTCCCATCGTGACCACGACGCAGTCGATGGCCATTCCGGATCTCTTGAAGACAGACATCAGCATTTTTTCGTGCACCTTGGCCGGAAATGGCGCTCCGGCGAGCAAAATCAAACATGGCTGGCGGTATAAACTGGTACCTGAACCACCACACATTGGTAATTCTATTCAAATTGGAGACAATGATGGATAGTGGTGGTTTAGGTCGTATGCCTTTCGGATTGCTTCAGCGGTGCAAACACTGTCAGCCCAAACCACCAGTTGATCATTGGCCGTCCGTTGATGATCACTGCTTTGAACATCTTGAGATTAATTTGTCCGCCATGGATGCTGTTTTATTTTGCCAATACATGATATATGATATGATATATGTTTTTGTCTTGATGTTCTTGTCACATGCTCTTGATCGACAGATGGTTTGATACCCTTCACAATCCAGCCATATCAACAACTCCAGCCATGTCTTCAGATGTGTCCTTTTCTGACAAATCTAATGATCTCAATGTTGGAAACCCAATGCCATACACCATAACCTCCTTTTTCGGGCTTTGGGTTTTCAATCCCCAGCCAGTCGCAGCAGGCGCTAATCGTTTTTGTGCGTAAAAACCAGCGAAAGAGCTCCGTAATCAGGTAGGATCACCTCCAGTGGTTGAGGGACGACTCTGAAGCGCTGGTTACAAAAACCACAAGCCGATTCGTGGGATGACTTAAGGTGAAGTGAACCATCATGATTCATCCATGATCCATGATATCCTCAGTATATCCTCATCTCGGTGGTGGTCGCAACTCTTTTACGTGTTTTTGTTGAGCCATACTTGGGAGGATGGCTTGCGAGGACGAGCATTTTTGTTGGCGTGCTAAGACCACAAACCAGTCAAGTAATCCAACCAGTCTTGGATTATCTAGCCATATATATATATATAAACATATATATATATATAAACAAATATATATATATCCATCCAGATTGGTTATATAATGGCTACCTATGATATCATATATAATAGTATAGCCATATAATAGGCATATATAATAGGCATCATATATAAATAACAATGGTTATATCCAACCAGATATAGCCATGGTATAGCCATTATGATATCAACGGGAGAGTCTTCTCCCGTTGGACATCGCAAGCATCGCAGGCACCTCCTGGCTTCTGAGAGAAATTGGCAACGGTGAAGCCAACAGCGCCTCGGAGTGAAAAAAAATGCTACTGATGGTATGATCAATTCCAATATATCCCAATCTGGTTGGTGGTTTCACATATTTTTTATGTTCCATAATACAGATAATATATGGGATATATCCCAATCTGGTTGGTGGTGGAAAGGTACATCAATTCAAACTGGTTGGAAAGGTACATCATTTCAAACTAAAATACTGATAATCTGGTTGGTGGTTTCAACTATTTTTTATGTTCCATAATGTTCCAGAATATATGGGATAATCCTTCCCATTGACTTTCATATTTTTCAGAGGGGTGGCTCAACCACCAACCAGCAATTATATCATGGGTTAGTACATGTGAATGTACCATGAAGAACCTCATTATTTAATGATGGACCAAAAAATGGGGCCATGATTGATCTGTGGCCATGATGCTTCAATGATTACCCTCTGGTAAACTAACAGTTTGCTATGGAAAGATCCACCATTTTTCATGGGAAAATCCACTATTTTACTATGGTCATTTTCAATAGCAAACTGTTGACATAACCAGAGGGTAAAATCAGAACCTTGTGGTGACCTCTGCGTCCCAGGTTTTTTTTCACTGGTGATGTTTGGATTCTGCGTCATTGCTGGGGCCCTCAGCGGAAGTTCGGTGTTCAGTGGGTGTTTGGCCATGGGGATAGGCAATGGATTGACCAGCAATAAGAACCATACTCATGGATATGGAAAAAAAATAACAAGTGATTACATGTAGTAAGTGATGTATATGTCATTAGATGTCAACATCACAACTGTTCCTTCAATTTATTTTTAAAGAACCAGGGTTTTGATCCATATTCCACATTGCACATGTTTCTTATTACACTACACATCAAAAGGAAAGGCGATCGGCTCGCTCGGCCACGAAACGTTTTTGCTTTGTTTCAGGTGTTGACAACGGCTGATGTTCTCTTTCTTTTCCTCGCAGCAAAGAGACTGTTTCAGAAGCAGGTGCCAGGGGCGTAGGGATTGGCACTGATGGGTTCATTTTGAATTGTACGTCTGTAGGTAAATAAATCTAGCTAGAGGGCTATTGCGCTTGTTTTTTCTCACTGTCAGCTTCAGTTTCTTCAGGCTCTCAACTGGACTCTTGGGGAAGATAACCTCTGTCGAAGATAGCTCCACACTGTCTTTGTCGAAGATCTGCTCGCCATACTTTAGTTGCCAGGCGAACAGCGCATGGGTTTGGTCAAGGATTTCCTGTCTTCCTTTGGATATATAACATTACAGTATATATATATATAACTAGTCCCAACAAACTAGCTAGTAACTAGTTTGTTTCAAACAAAATTGGTTGAAATCATCAGCATGATCAGCGCTTCAGCGTTGAAAGATTTGCCAGCAATATGATGCTGCGCTTGGAAATCAAATGACCCACACAATGTATAATATAGAGGTTTTACTCATAAACTGTTTTTTTGGTGTGTGTGTGTGTGTTCCACAGTGACAGTCATATCTCTATAATCTATAAACATGTATTCCATTATCGTAAACATGATGATATACACTGTATTCATACAATACACACAAGGCTACGGATAGGTACAGAATACACGGTCCGCTTTTGTGTTTTTGGTCCAATGATGTCGACAGGATACGCCACTCAGAGATCAAGGTCCTTGTCCCTTCTACCGGTGGGTTCTTGGTCGGCACTGGGGACTTGCTGAAAATGATCTTGGCCTTTCTGGATCTATGTTGATATGGCTTTGTCTGAAAAGAATCCATACCAAGAATGACAGTGAATGACATTTTTTTAATGGGAAAGTTGATGATCAACCAGCAAGGTTGGTGGTACCCTATATTTGACAAAACCATCATGTGAGCACTCATGTGTACTGAGGGATTTGTTCCACCATGAATTGAAGCAGCTTCGATGTAAAACAAGGCCTCTGGGCATGACGGTCCCCCAAGTACACCATTTGACAGCCTGTCAATATCTTAAAACTTAAAACACATCACTTCCCTTCTCCCTCCTTGATGACTGAGGCGAAAATTGTCCGCAAGCTGTCTATGCTAGATGTGTCCATCATGGGCGTTTACGTCAGGGCACCCAGTTGTTTGATGTTTTGGTTTCGGTAAGGATATAGTGTGAGGATGTCCCTACTTTCGCAAAGCCGTAATGTATCATTAAATTATATATATATATATATAATTATATAAATATATTTATATACACACCAGTGTTCAAAAGTCTCATGGCTTTAACATTTACTTTATTTAGCTGCAAAAAAAACCCTTTGAGAAAAGAACATATATAGAACACTTGCCGCACTTCTCAGGTTATCACTTTTTGCATGGGCATCTACAAGAAACAAGGCATCGTAGTATCAACTCGTGAAGGACCCGGGAGCTCGGTAGCCCTCAATCTTTCTGAAATTATCGTCTAGTCTATAATAGTCTGTATATCATATCTTAATATCTTGCTTAAATGGTGTGTATCAATACTCCGTATATACAGTATACAGACTATAGTGTAAATATCATTATATATATATATATACACATACATTCCAAAGATGAATTCTGAAGTTTTGCGAAGCCGAGACCTTGTGGATCTGTCGGCTTCGCGCCAGGACTCGTGGTGTTGATCTTGGCGGAGGTTTCGCATAGCTTGCTCTACTGCTTGGTTTCAGGCACCCATGGGGATGCCATGGAACAGCTGTTGTTTTTGTTTTCTTTTCCCTTTAAAATGGAGAAGATGAAGAGAACAATACATGGAGAACTCTTATGTACAATCTTTATCAATCTTTTAATTCTCAAAAAAGATGGCTTACAGTTTTCCAAAAGTTTCCAGAGATGTTGAAGCACCCCAAAATCATCGAGCATGATGCTTGGATATGTTTATTGCATTCGTTCAAAACATAATTTTCCAGTGAAGCAGAAATAGGTTGAATATTCCTAGATCATCCAAGCAGTCTATACAATGTGGGTAAAACCATCCCACAGTCATCACCATTTTTATAGGTGGTCTAAACATGTATATAAACATTCCCAGCCGTGGGTGTTAAACATGACATTGTTTTGCCCACGTGATTCCAATGATTTTCCTATGATTTTCCCATTCTTCATCCAAACCAGTCTACCCTCTGGTAATTTAACATAGCTATTGAAAATAGCCATTTATAGTTGATTTTCCCAGTAAAAATGGTGATGTTCCATAGTTGTTTGTATGTTTCCCAGAGGGTCTGATCCAATTTTCCAGGTGCTGTCGAGGCCCAACAGGAACAGGCGGAACGGGCGCAGTACGATGCTTGGCTGTGACTCAATGCATGGATTCAGCAAATTCCATGAGAAAAATGGGCAAACATGAGAAAATGATAGAACATGATGAATCTTAGTAAATCCAAATAATGAGCCAGCCATATTTTGATGGTTTACAGCACCTGTGTATACTATATTTGGGGATGGTTTACTATTGCTTTACTAACATTACTCCACGATTGAACCATATATTGCTTGTAGAGCGTGTTGAACCATATTAAACCATGCAAGAAGGACATGAACACCATATTAAACCATTGAACATTGCGATTTTTTCAGCGATTGTGTACTCTAATCAAAGCTGGCTATGGAAAACCTAGTTCAGGATGAGAATGCCCAAAAAGATGCAAACGTTTGGAGACCCCTACATTGCGACCTCAAAAACCCTCATACATGAACATTGATATTAGGGAAATCATCACACACATGAAATCTTGAGAATCAGGCATCCACTTCCCAGCGGATGACATCTTTGTTTGATAAAATTGATCTTGTGATGTTCAATGTGGGGCTTTCCATAAATGGGGATACCCCATAATGGATGGTTTATTTAAGGGCTGCCGCCCCTGCCGCCGACCCCGGTGTGTACACCCTATGTGCCACAACTTGAATGTAGTCGGCCTCATTTTCTTGTCCGAGATGAACTCAGAGCGTGTTGCTTAGATAACTTCACAGGTTGAGGTGTGTTTCGTAGCATTCCCTATGAACAGTATTGGTGCACAGTTCAAGTTCTTGTATAGGAGGGTGTGGTTTCAACTCTAAAGGGCACTTGCTGTTGTTGTTGTTGTTGTTGTTGCTGGTGGTGGTGGTGGTGGTGGTGGTGATGGTGGTGGTGGTGGTGTTGGTGTTGGTGTTGGTGTTGGTGCCTCTGAAGGACGGAGAAGTCCCAAAATTGCACCCCGAAAATGCCTAACGTAACTTCTGAAACCCATAGAAAATGATGCTTTTGGCTCCTTTTCCTCTTGCTGCTGCTATGAATTTTGGCTACCTTTTCCTCCTGCTACTGCAGAGGCTTTTGCTGCTGCTGCGGCTGGTCCCCCGATGGAAAAACACAATGGAAAAAATCACCTCCCGGCAGGGAAACACCATACCTCTGAAGGACGGAGAAGCCCTAAAATTGCACCCCGAAAATGCCTAAGTAACTTCTGAAACCCATAGAAAATGATGCTTTTGGCTCCTCTTTCCTCTTGCTGCTGCTATGAATTTTGGCTACCTTTACATCCGGTCCCCAAATGGGAAAACACCATGGAAAAAATCACCTCCCGGGGACGAAACACCATGCCTCTGAAGGACGGAGAAGCCCCAAAATTGCACCCCGAAAATGCCTAACGTAACTTCTGAAACCCATAGAAAATGATGCTTTTGATTCCTTTTTCCTCTTGCTGTTGCTATGAATTTTAGCTACCTTTACATCCGGTCCCCAAATGGGAAAACACCCTGGAAAAAATCACCTCCCGGGGGCGAAACACCATGCCTCTGAAGGACGGAGAAGCCCCAAAATTGCACCCCGAAAATGACGTAACTTCTGAAACTCATAGAAAATGCTGCTTTGCTGCTTTTGGTTCCTTTTTCTTCTTGCTGCTGCTATGAATTTTGGCTACCTGTTGCTCCTGCTGCTGCAGAGGCTTTTGCTGCTGCTGCTGCTGCTGGTCTCTAGATGGGAAAACACCATGGCAACTACAGAGGCTTTTGCTGCTGCTGCGGCTGGTCCCCGGATGGAAAAACACCATGGAAAAAATCACCTCCCGGCAGGGAAACACCATACCTCTGAAGGACGGAGAAGCCCCAAAATTGCACCCCGAAAATGCCTAAGTAACTTCTGAAACCCATAGAAAATGATGCTTTTGGCTTCTTTTTCCTCTTGCTGCTGATATGAAATTTAGCTACCTTTACATCCGGTCCCCAAATGGGAAAACACCATGGAAAAAATCACCTCCCGGGGGCGAAACACCATACCTCTGAAGGACGGAGAAGCCCCAAAATTGCACCCCGAAAATGCCTAAGTAACTTCTGAAACTCATAGAAAATGCTGCTTTGCTGCTTTTGGTTTCTTTTTCTTCTTGCTGCTGCTATGAATTTTGGCTACCTGTTCCTCCTGCTGCTGCAGAGGCTTTTGCTGCTGCTGCTGCTGCTGCTGCTGCTGCTGCTGGTCCCTAGATGGGAAAACACCATGGCAACTACAGAGGCTTTTGCTGCTGCTGCGGCTGGTCCCCGGATGGAAAAACACCATGGAAAAAATCACTTCCCGGCAAGGAAACACCATACCTCTGAAGGACGGAGAAGCCCCAAAATTGCACCCCGAAAATGCCTAAATAATTTCTGAAACCCATAGAAAATGATGCTTTTGGCTCCTTTTTCCTCTTGCTGCTGATATGAAATTTAGCTACCTTTACATCCGTTCCCCAAATGGGAAAACACCATGGAAAAAATCACCTCCCGGGGGCGAAACACCATGCCTCTGAAGGACGGAGAAGCCCCAAAATTGCACCCCGAAAATGCCTAACGTAACTTCTGAAACTCATAGAAAATGCTGCTTTGCTGCTTTCGGTTCCTTTTTCCTCTTGCTGCTGCTATGAATTTTGGCAACCTGTTCCTCCTGCTGCTGCAGAAGCTTTTGCTGTTGCTGCTGCTGCTGCTGGTCCCTGGATGGGAAAACACCATGCCAGTGAAGGACGGAGAAGCCCCAAAATTGCACCACGTAACTTTTGAAACTACTGCAAAACAATATAGTTTTCGACAATTTTTTTTAGTTCTCGACCAGTTGTTATACCACTGTTTGTACAATGAGACATAGAACCCTCCTGCTGCTCCTGTTGCGGCTGCTGCTCTTCCTTAGTAGTAGTAGTAGTAGTAGTCGTCGTCGTCGTAGTAGTAGTAGTAGTAATAGTAGTAGTAGTAGTAGTAGTAAAAATCACCGCCCGGGGCGAAACACCATGCCTCTGAAGGAGGAGAAGTCCCAAAATTGCACCCCGAAAATGCCTAACGTAACTTCTGAAACCCATAGAAAATGATGCTTTTGGCTCCTTTTTCCTCTTGCTGCTGCTATGAATTTTGGCTACCTTTCCCTCCTGCTACTGCAGAGGCTTTTGCTGCTGCTGCGGCTGATCCCCCGATGAAAAACACCATGGAAAAAATCACCTCCCGGCAGGGAAACACCATACCTCTGAAGGACGGAGAAGCCCCAAAATTGCACCCCGAAAATGCCTAACGTAACTTCTGAAACCCATAGAAAATGATGCTTTTGGCTCCTTTTTCCTCTTGCTGCTGCTATGAATTTTAGCTACCTTTACATCCGGTCCCCAAATGGGAAAACACCATGGAAAAAATCACCTCCCGGGGCGAAACACCATGCCTCTGAAGGACGGAGAAGCCCCAAAATTACACCCCGAAAATGCCTAACGTAACTTCTGAAACCCATAGAAAATGATGCTTTTGGTTCCTTTTTCCTCTTGCTGTTGCTATGAATTTTGGCTACCTTTACATCCGGTCCCCAAATGGGAAAACACCCTGGAAAAAATCACTTCGACAGATTCTGTTGCCTGCGGCTGCTAGCAGTAAAACAGCTTCGAAAAAATCACCTCCCGGAGGCGAAACACCATGCCTCTGAAGGACGGAGAAGCCCCAAAATTGCACCCCGAAAATGCCTAACGTAACTTCTGAAACCCATAGAAAATGATGCTTTTGGCTCCTTTTTCCTCTTGCTGCTGCTATGAATTTTGGCTACCTTTTCCTCCTGCTACTGCAGAGGCTTTTGCTGCTGCTGCGGCTGGTCCCCCGATGGAAAAACACCATGGAAAAAATCACCTCCCGGCAGGGAAACACCATACCTCTGAAGGACGGAGAAGCCCCAAAATTGCACCCCGAAAATGCCTAAGTAACTTCTGAAACCCATAGAAAATGATCCTTTTGGCTCCTTTTTCCTCTTGCTGCTGCTATGAATTCTAGCTACCTTTACACCCGGTCTACCTTTACATCCGGTCCCCAAATAGGAAAACACCATGGAAAAATTCACCTCCCGGGGGCGAAACACCATGCCTCTGAAGGACGGAGAAGCCCCAAAATTGCACCCCGAAAATGCCTAACGTAACTTCTGAAACCCATAGAAAATGATGCTTTTGGCTCCTTTTCCTCTTGCTGCTGCTATGAATTTTAGCTACCTTTACATCCGGTCCCCAAATAGGAAAACACCATGGAAAAAATCACCTCCCGGGGGCGAAACACCATGCCTCTGAAGGACGGAGAAGCCCCAAAATTGCACCCCGAAAATGCCTAACGTAACTTCTGAAACCCATAGAAAATGATGCTTTTGGCTCCTTTTTCCTCTTGCTGCTGCTATGAATTTTAGCTACCTTTACATCCGGTCCCCAAATAGGAAAACACCATGGAAAAAATCACCTCCCGGGGGCGAAACACCATGCCTCTGAAGGACGGAGAAGCCCCAAAATTGCACCCCGAAAATGCCTAACGTAACTTCTGAAACCCATAGAAAATGATGCTTTTGGCTCCTTTTTCCTCTTGCTGCTGTTTTGCTACTCCTGCAGCCCCCGGATGGGAAAACACCTGGCAGTGAAGGACGGAAAAGCAGCAAAATTGCGACCAAAGCAGCCCCGGATGGGAAAACACCTAGTGAGGAGGAAAAGCAGCAAAATGCGACCAAAAACTACTAATGTAACGTCTTAGTAGTAGTAGTAATAGTAGTAGTAGTAGTAGTGGTAGTAGCATTAATAGTAATAGTAATAGCAGTGCAGTACCTCTTCTTCCCTTACGCGCTCCCCCTTGCGTCGGCCGGGGTCGGCGGATATCTAGGAAGCTGAGTGTCTTGGTGGCATCTGTGTATGTGGGCATCACATCGACGTACGCATGTGTACACCAAAACGCGAGAGAGAGAGAAAGAGAGAGAAAGAGAGAGAAAGAGAGAGAGAGAGAGAGAGAGGGAGGGAGGGAGGGAGGGAGGGAGGGAGGGAGAGGAAGATGGTATATCCAGCGAATATGTCCGATATTTCGAGATCTATATCTCGCACTTTCCATATGATTTTAGACGGTTTCCCTCTTACAATCGCAAAAAAGAGAAGGCCCCCGTCATTCTGCAGTGTTCAACATCTTTGGCGACTTGATTCACAACTCTCCAGTTCCGTGGTCTAGGCACAGTCCGCTAGTGCGTTTATTCCTGTGTTTTTTTTTTTGTGGATATATCTAGGTCCCCAAGGTTTGATTCGATTTGCGAGACGCGATCCCAAATTGAAGCTGTGACTGCCAGAGTTGCTTTTTTGCAGGTTGCTGCGGCAAAGCGATCTTCTCAAGAGCGAAGTTCAGTCCGTGCATGAGGACTGAGGGCTGGGAGTGAGACAGGGAACATACATCAGCAGAATTCAGCAGATCCTTTCGAGAGAAGATTGAGGCTTGTCTGCCACAGTGTGGGAATACTGCCTTGATCTTGTAGGCGCAGTCTCCAGGCAATCTTGAGCAATATCTCTCAATCTGACTCCAAAACAATGTGATTTGGAGATGCTGCACCAATGCCGGCAGAACTCATTTCCTGTTTTCAAAGCTTCCGGTTTAGACTTTGGGTTCGAAGGGCCGACAAGATTAAGGGCATTCCAACCCGATTTACATTTTAATGTGGAAGAATCACAGAGAAGAGACTGTGCCCCAAGCTTGTTTGCCGACAGTTTCCTCGTATTCCTCGCTGTTCCCTGCTTTAAAAGTTCTGTGAACTTTCGGCACTGCTTTCCAGCCAGCAGTTGATACTGCGTGGTACTGCAGTCTGGTTGCTGCCAATGGCAGTATGGGGGATGAGCGGACTCAAGGGTGTTCGCTGGTCGCTTCAGAGTTAGTTTTCCTCGTCCAGCCAAATGCTAGCCACCCACACAGCGTCAATTCCTTTGCAACATGGATTCCCGACAACTCTTGGACTCTTAAAGCCTGTAAAGAGGAGTCAAACCTGCAAGAAGTTGACCTGAAAGAGGCTGGATGGGTCATTTCTTCCATCTTCCGACGCAGTGGATTGTTTTCACCCCAACGTGGGTCTGTCGGGCTCATGTGTGCCAGGTGGGCACCAGCCTGGAGAATGAGATTAAGGCAAAAAGTTTGAAGAAACACGAGAAGATGTACAAGAGAACCTATAGAACATGCAATTTGATTTTGCGGTGTGCATTAAGTATCATCATGTGCTGTTGTGACGCGTTTCCCCCTCCTCGGTGCTGGTGTTGCAAGGGTCCTGTCAAGTAGGTCTGGATAGTAGGCTACATCGGTGAAAGGCGTTGTTTAGTATCTCAATATATGTATCAATATGTCTCGGTTAGAGGTTGGAAGCGTGATGACAAGCGCCAGGCCCAGTTGGAACACAGGAAGCAGGCCAGGAGATTCAAATATTTCAAATGCTGCAGATTAATGCAAATTAGATCAAATTAGACAATATCCTGAACATTGGGCAAAAAAGGCAAACCTGTTTTTTCATAAATAATGGTGCCAAAACGTTTGCCGGGCTTTTTGAATTGGATCTATCATGGGAGAAGTAGTCTTGGCACAGGCATAAGATGAAACAACTGCAAAGGCTCAACCCAAACACCCACAAAGAAAACATCTCGAAGGGCCAAGCGCCGATTTGATGAGCCAGAACGTTCTTGGATTCTTGTAATTACAATATTGCAATGCAACGATGACATTGTATGTTCTCGTTCCTCCAGTGACAGCATATCCTTACATGGGGTTGCCAAAGCATTCCTTTGACATGCCTTTCTTGACTGAGGCCATTCAGGATTCCTCAGACGCTGACATGCAACGTTGCTTGGCTAAATATATTACTGTATACGAGCACAATGAAGATTACCAGCAAAGTGAAATTCATCTTATGGCACAGAAGATTGCCCGTCAAGAAGATTGCTATGCGACAATCTATTCTTACAGCCTGAAGATTGCCAGCAAAATGAGAGCCCAGTAAACCACCAGGCAGCCCTTTTGTTTGAATCAAATCGGCACGGCGAAGATCCTGACATCATCTCACATCATGATGAACCTCTTGAGGCTTTCAAAACATTCGTAAGACCAGTGAGAAGGTTACGGATGAATTGATTGAGGAGGCAGATGTGTGGTTTCGGAGCCTTCTGTAGCTGTGCCACGGAAAATTGAGCAATTAATTTGCAGTCAGGTGAATGAGGATAATAAGGAAAAGGGTGCAGGTAGGATAGAACATGCTAATGCATGGTAGGGTGTTTGTCGCCTGAAACCTGTCAACCCTGCTAGTGACATCTGACACCTTCACACACACTGACCGACCTTTATGTAGAAGTGGGAGAAAATAAGAGACGGATAGAGACGGCACACCAGCTCAGAGCCGTCAGAGGTAGAATATTGATGAAGACTGAAGTGACTGAAGATTGTACACGAATTTGTACATGCTACATGCTTGTCAAACAGAAACGATGCGAGTTGGAGCAGGTGATGCTTGATGTGTGCAGAACTTACTTCTTTGTCAGGCGAAACTTTTCCAGCAGGGCATCTCATTCCTTCGCGATGTCTACTCAAACGCGCCACGAAAGCTTTGACCTTAGCACAGCATGCGCAGCTTTCTTACAGCCTTCAAGCTCCACGAACATTTCAACGAGTTCGAACGTATCTTTGCAAATTGTTCTTTAGGAGATCTTTGGAGTGTGTTTTAGCTGGACTTGAAGCTGGTGGGGCTGGTGGGGCTGCCAGGGCGCGGCATCGACCTGGTGGATCACCGACATTGCCTTCTCCATCTCCCTATGGAAGGTAATTCACCGGTGTAATTCATGGTAATTCGATGTAATTCGAGAATCTCTTCAGCTTCTTCAGCTTAGTTTATTGTGCCTGCAGAGATGAGGACTTCATTTCCGTCACGAATTAGAGTCATCATTGTCATGGTTGAGTATAGGCCATGTCAACCGGAATCAAGAGGTATTTACGAGGCTCACGCGTTTGATCACGTACAATAATATAAAACTGGCTATTGCATGCTATTGCCCAATTTCATGCTGCAGACGTTCAGTTCAGTTATATAGCCTTGTGTCAAGGGCCTTCAATCATACCTGAGAGATCTTAATAGAATCTTAATAGGATTGTAACGGATCCGAATATATATATATATAAATAAATACAGATGTTTTCAAGGCTCCAAGTTCAACCTCCTGGTCTCACCGCTGTACAAAGGACGTGCTCAACATGCCGGATGCGAAAAACATCGAAAAAAAGACCCACACCTACAATGAAAAGTTGATGAAAACGGTTGATGGCGCTTGGGATTTGGGATCTTCAATCATATGGATGGCTACCTGAAGAGATGCGTGCTAGATCGTGCTAGTGCGCTCATTGGAGAAAATACTGTGAATTAATGTGAATCATACACTAGTCGCCAGTGCTATGTGATCAGCAAAATGACAAACCATGACCCCCTCTTGCAGGCATCTCCAGACTTGCGTGGAGCCCCAGTTGAAACTGTATGGGCGCGTACAATCACAATGCATTATGACAACTTGGGCGCTGCAGGAATGGGGAGAGGGCAACTGTGACCCGAAAAGAGACGGGTGGTCAGCAGCTTAGTTTCAGACAGAAGCATGTATGGAATCATATGGAATCCATGAGTGGCAGTCTGAACCTGATGTGGCACATTGTGGCACATACCCTGCATCGCTCCTTGATTCTGGCTTCGAGCTTTCAGCTAGACGTAGGCGTTTGAGAAAAGAAAAGAGACCGACCAAATTGGGCCGTCGATAACGTAGCGTGAGATGGAAACCGCAGTTGATCCATCCAGCTATTCTAACTTTGCCAAACCATGCCGAGTCACATCCTAGATTGAGAGAGAGTGTAACAAAGTGCACGTCGTTCTGCACTCCTGTAGTAGCGCCCCTCAATAGGGTTTCTTCCTCAAAGTGTAGACTGGATCCTTCAACTAGCAACAGCAGTGCTCAATTTGCCATGCTGCTCTTTGTGGTCCTTGTATGTCCCACACTTTGCTGGGCAGTACGGGAGGCAGGCACCTATATACACGGAGTCATTCATCCCAAAGATTCATGCTGCCCTAAATGGATCCTAAAATCTCCTAAATGGGTGTGTCCCAAATATGCGCATGAGCCACGATAGTATAGGAGGGTTCAGGTTGAATGAAAGAAACGGCTTGATCGAATCGCTTGCCATTGGTTTGGAAAGTGCAACTTCCGTACAATGCATATCAAGTCAACGATCATACTGTAGCAAATGGGCGATCGTGTCACCAAAATTCAACAAGCTTGCGTTGACAAACTTGCGTTGAGTTGAGTCTTGGCTCGACGTGTCTTGTTCTTGATTTTGCACACATAGACTTGCCACCATACTGCCCTGGTCCCATTGATGGGACTTTGTCAATGGTCTGTTTCCTTGCATATGTTTCATCATGTTTCCAGCAATACAACCTGGAGGGGTACTTTATTTCCCCCTGCAGGTTGAGAATTTGGATCATGGCTGGCGCTTCCAGAAAGAGGAACAGAGGTTGCAGCAATGCGACAGCAAGACCTTTCCGGATTACTTGCCAGGCCTCCATGGAACGGGAATCAAAACAAACTTCATAAAACACACCTTACATTTCCATACATTTCCTCAATATCACTGAAGTACTCTGAAGTGGCGATGCTGAAACTGGGTGGTGCAGATGACCCTTCAACGCAGCTCCGGCGCCAGGCCGCTGCATGGGCCTTGCTCCACAGGGCCGTCCTGAAGATGGTGGCCCAGGCAGTGCACTTGCATGCCGCGAAGCATGCTGCTACCCGGCTGAGCCGGCTGAGCTCACACAGAAACAGATCTTCGAATATCTTCGACATATTTTGATTCGAAATTTTGATACGCAAAAAACAAAAACAACTACTTCTGCACTCGTTGGATTTTCTTGGCGCCGCATTTAAGGTGCAGATGCTTCTTGCAATGCCTGGCAATGGTGTGGTCCAAACTCCGCATGTGAGTCTCCAAACACGTGTTTCAAAGGACTGCGTGCATCTAAAGTGATAGGATGTCATCGGATGATATCGGATGTGCTCTACTAATCCCTGGGGCACGTTGGAAGTTAAGCAGTCAGCCCGAGGACTGATTGATGTGGAGCGCAACTGCAGCAGACATGGTCACTGGCAAGGCGAAGGCGCATAACTCTACTCAACCATGAGTGAGCAAGCAGGGGCGACCCATCAGTGGTATACAATGGTATACATATAGAACTACAATATTTTTGGGTTTTCTTTTTTTTGCATTGTTTGTTTGTCTGTCCGTTTGTCTGTCTGCTCTTGTTTTGTTCTTTGTGTGATTTTGACGTGTTTCCCGATGGTCCCGATCGATCAACAGAAGAATCATTGGGCATTGCTGATCATTGCCGTCCGTACTGCGTGCCTTCAATCCCAGTTGAAGCACCTTGAAGCAATCCCTGAAGTTGGAAGGTGACTCATCTCGCAGACCAGAACCAGAGCCAACACCAGGGTATCCCTGCGATGTCCCGCAATGTCGCTCCAATTTCGATGTAGCTTTGTGCAGCATTAGCAACAGTAAGGTTTTTCTCATCTTTTCTTCTTGACGTTTACCCAATAAGGTGTCACTATGATGCTGCATTGATCTGCATTGCATCATACCATGTGTTTGTAATTATCTTTCCTTTTTGGGAGGGTGCCAGTATGGAAATATGCAAGTGACTGACAAAACATCAAACCTGAATCGAGGATTCTTCCTGGCCGTTGGTAAACGTTCCCCATGATTTTGTGGTTTCGGGAGATTTCGACAAGCGAGCTGACAAGTCTCATGGCTACCTGCCATACGGTGTGGCTTGGTATCGCCGAAGGCTTTGCTTGCAAGATGCTGTAGCCATCAGCGATGGCAGCAAACACAGCTGGTTGGAGTTTGAGGGGGTCATGGTGAAGAGCAAGGCATTGGAGGGGTTGCGGAAATATGCTGAAATACGAGTTGGCAAGGCTGCTGTGTGTGGCTATTCCAACTTTAGTCAGTCAGAGTCCATCAGGGAGTGTGGAAGTTAGGGGCGCCACATGAATATGGTGCAAAACTTGATAGTAATGAAATGGAGCGAAATGGAACTAAAGGATGACCGGCTGAGTTTGGCAGGTGCCAAGGTGCCACCAGGGGATGATTTCCCAGGCTCTCCCTGCATAGGTCTGGCTGAATGGAGCATTCCTCGGATCCCATTTTTCCGGATACACGCCATACTTGCTTGACATCTCCCCAGCGCCCTTGAAGTCACTCAGCCACAAGAACTCATTTCTCGATTTCTAGACGGTTCAACTTTCTCACTAATTACATTTTTCTTTTGGCCTAAGACTGCCGGAAGACCAACCTTCCGGGCTCAAAAGAGATCTAACAAATACAATTGACTCGGGAAAGCCTGCACTTGAGGAGTGGTTGCAACAACCTTTTGGCTGTTTATGTGGACGCCACAGCGCCAGATGGTTGGTGGTATGATGGTGGCGGCATCTACCGCCACGTTTGGCTTACGACCGTGCCTCCAGAACCTCGCCAGCAGATTTCACATGGACATTTGGGTCAGGACGTCAGGACTCATGACTGAAACCATTTGTGATAACTCCAGTACAGCATGCAGAGCCCTCCTGAAACGAAATGCTAGACGGAATGCAGCTGCTTTTGACCAACATGGCCAACATTGGCCAACTATCAGTTGAGATATGTTGAGATATGTTGAGATATGTTGAGATGCTGAACAGCTAGCTGCAAGGCCCACATCGTCCCATGGGGCCTCTACGCGCCAGCCAAAGTCGTTGGCCATGGAGAGAATTCAGCAGACGCTGAAGTTTCTCCCCGTGTGGAACTGGTGAATTTCTTTACCACCCCGAAGTTGGTGAGAATCTTCTGCGTGGTAAAGGAGGCTGGCCGCTTTGTAATGGACCAGGCCAGCCTGGGCGTCAAAAGTATGAATCTGAGATATGTGAACCATCACAGATCATTAAAGAACTTATATATGTGAAATATACCAGTGTTGATATGTCTTGATAGATCCACGTGTTGATGGATTCTGTTGTTGCACAGTCTACATGTACATATCATAGTTTTCACTCTCATATACTGGCGTGCCTATGGCTCAAGAAATAGTGCACGGGGTGTGCAGGTAGTTTGTGGCTAAACCCGGTTTATCTGTTGTTTCTACAGGTTATCAGCCGTATCGCCAAAGGTGATTTGGTTGATTTCCTTTTGTCTCACACTTTTCGTTCTTTCTCCTCTAGTTTTCGCCATGTCAAATCCCCCTGCGTTGCCTGCCCCGGGCGGGAACGCCACGGCTGCCCTAGCACTGGCGAACACATCACAACCGGAGGAAGTGGTAATCCATTCAGGCGCGGCAACGACAGAAGGCGACATGAGTTACCTGGATGAGGACTTTGACCCATGCCGATCCGATCCACGCAGGAACATGCCAGGTGTCTTGGACTCAAACATTGACATCAGTCAGCTCAACACCATCAACTTCAACAATGTTGATCAGCGTACCGCCAACGTGGCAGTGGTACAACAAGGCCTTGATCCAAACCTGGCGAACCAACTCATGGCTGCTCAGCAGCAGGCATTGCAGAGTGAGGCAAATGCACGTCACTCTGAGGTCATGGAACGTCAACGGATGGAGCTTGTGAGTGAAGCTCGAGATCAACTTGCAAGCGTTGAACAACAAGCAGCCGAAGAAATTTCTAGGAGAAACCTTTTGTTGAACGAGCAAGCCGCCCAGGCGATGAGTGAGCAGAAATCTGCTCAACTGCAGGTCACAGCGCAGGATCATCGCATCAGGGAACTGAGTGCTGAACTGACTCATGTGGTCAACAATGCAGGTGTCTTGACATCGTCTGCGGAGAAGTCAAATGCTGATCTGCAGGCAGCACGTTCGGAACTTGCCGAGTACCGCACTCAGATGGATGCAATGAATCAACACGCTTTGAACATGCAGAAGTTGGCCGAATCTCAGAAGAAGGACTTCGAGGCAGAGATTGAGAAGCTTCGGAAGGAGCAGAGAGAGCTCATCCGGAATCTAAAGTCTCAACCTCTGGAGGGAACTCCTGGACTCATGATTCATTATGGACCCGGAAAACCCATTCCACCATCCTCGAAGCCCAAGGGTCCTACCATTGAGGAGTTAGCTTCGGGGAGCAAGAAGCCCCAGCATTCATCCGATGCTGACGATGAGCATTTACTGGCAGAACCTTCGAAGCCACCGGGACTTCCCGGCGGTGGACCTCCAGGAGATGACGATGATGACGAGGACTTCAACGACAAGAGAGGTCGCAAGGACAAGAAAGACAAGAAGAAGAAGGATCGCAAAGCTAGTCGTGGCCGATCGAGACGACGACGTCGAAGAGATCCTTCATCTTCACCTTCATCATCTACATCCCCTACGACGTCAAGTTCGGATTCTGAGAGTTCCTTTGCACGAAAGGTCAAAAGGGCCTTAGAGCGTTCTAGGACTACTGATAATAAGGCCAAAGAGTCTGATAGCATCCTAGTTCCTAAGTTCCCTCAACCCGAAAATTATAGGAATTGGAGAATCCGAGTAAGGGATGCCATAATTGCTGCTTCTGCCAAACCCGACCTAGCTTTTCAGTGGGTAGAAGAAGTTTTCAGGACAGACCAGTCTGTCGATGCCTTGAAGGACTCAGGTAAATTCGTGACCCTGGACGCAAAGCTCATGTCTTCGCTCACCAACATCTGCGAAGGGGACTTTGCACGGCAGCTTGACATCTTTAAAGAAGAACAAGCCAAGTCAGGGACACCAGCTAGGGGACGTCAGGCATTGCTCATGATTCACAAACACTTCAGTACAAGTAGGAAACATGGTGCAGTGTACGACATTGAGGACCTCATGGCTGTTACCTTAGTCAATGATGATCTCAGAGGTTTCATCACCCGATGGGACGCTGTGATCGCTGGAATGACTTCCGAGCCTGACATGATGTGGAAGCAAGCCTACTTTCACAACGCCATCAAGAACTTCAAGCCTCTCTCCCATGATCTGGCTGTGTATGATCGCACACCGGAGGGGGAACCCAACCGCTCTTATGATTTTCTCATGAAAGCTGCAAGGGACTACCTAGAGAGGAGACGTCTTGAGAAAATGCGCCAGGCTACCAAGAAGTCTGTTTCAGGCAAAAGAGATGCTACGCCAGCGCCCACGCGACCGCCATCTGCGGGAAAGCCCACTGGCATTTGCTACGACTTCCAGGCTGGCAAGTGTACCAGGGGAAAGGATTGCCGATACAAACATGAAAAGGCAGACAAAGGAAAAGGCGGAGGTAAGAAAGGCAAGTCTAGGTCCAAGTCAAGGGGCAATGGTCGGTCTTTGTCTCCAGGGTCTAGGAACCAAGTGTGCAAGTTTTGGAAGGCAGGTAAGTGTCAACGAGGTAATGACTGTGCTTTCCAACACCCACCGAAGCCTGCAGCTGCATCTACAAAAGATGACAAGCGTGGAAAGAGCCAGAAAAAGAAGAAGAAGAACAAGAAGAAAGGCGATCGCTCCAGATCGTCAAGTCGAGGTTCCAACTCCTCGAGGGGCTCACAGAGTCTCAAGGACAAAGGGGGAAAACCATCTTCCTCTGGCTCAGCTGCAGTTTGCCTGATGCGCGCTCTGATGATGGTCGCAGTCGTCAACCCTTCGACCAGCACTCATCGCGTGCCGGAAGGCATCGCCTCTCCGCATTGTTTCAACCAGCATTTTGCCATGCCAGTTACGCCCAATCGCACTGTTTCATTTGGGGGCAACGATGAAATCTTCGAAGTTCCCATTGAGCAAAATTGTAATTTGCATCCGTGCCAAGCCAAACAACGAACTTTCAATCCAGTTCGCATCACCAAGGACGATCGTACTCGTAAAGATACGATCGAGGCAAGAGAAAGTGATGCAATACTTGCAGCACAGATGTTGCAATCCGCTGTCTTCCGGGAGTTGCATGGCAAACTTTGCAAATGCAGCTTTGAATGTGACAGTGATATCGGCTGTCGCCACTGCATCCGTTCCGATTTGAATGCATTGCCAGGACACATGCCTTCTCAGCAGCGTAATGCATCCGCCGAAATTGCATGGATTGCTGACACCGGTAGTGCCCAGGACTTGGTTTGCAGCAAGATGATTCCCGATGACATTGTGTATCACTCTCATGAACCCCTTGAATTAATCACTGCAAATGGTTCTCAATCAGCTGACCAACAAGCTTCTGTTCATATTGATTGCATCGACAAAGAAGTTCATCCATATGTTCTTCCCGATACCCCGGCTGTAATATCGGTAGGGATGAGATGTATTCAAGATGGATGGGATTTTGTTTGGAAAAGCTTTAGTCGCCCATATTTCAAGAAGAAGATGGAACTAAGATCAAACTTGAAGTTAAAGATTTTGTTCCTTATCTACCATCCAGGGATGGCCAGGTACCCGCTGCAGTAGGGATTCCATTTTCGTGGAACTCCGCTGCCGGGAACGGCAAGCCTATCATCTCACCTGTTCGAAGGTCTCGCATGTCAGCTGTCGGCACTGAGTCCGAGGATGAAGTCGAAGAGGTCGAAGAACCTTATGAGGCTTCCATCGCAGATGACGATGAAATTCCTGGACGTGGTGACGATAGTCTCGAGGAGTTCTTCCCTGGTGAACTTGTGCCAGGACCTCCAGCAGCAATGACGCCCGATGTCAATGAAGGTTCGGAAGATGAAGCCGAAGCTCCTGAAGAACCAGTTGACGGTCGACTTCAACTGCCTGAACCTCAACCAATTGATCGCGGTGAAGCTGCACTTCGAGAAGAGGCCAGGACCCTTAGGCACATGATGACACATACCCCGAAGAATCCTTTTTGTGAAACATGCAAATGTGCAAAGATGTACAAACCTACTAAACGTAGCAAAGGGGAATCCTTGACTGTGGAATCCAACAAGTTTGGGGATCACATTGCTGGGGACCATCTTGTGACTAGGGATGCCAACGAACAATCAATTGATGGTGACAGGGTTGCTATGGTCATGAAAGATATCGCTACGAATTTTCGTTGGATTTATCCTTCAGCTAGAAGTCATGCCAAGGACTGTGTTTTAGCTTTTAGGCATTTCATTGCGCCTGGTGAAGAAGTCGGAGTGTTTTATTCCGATGCAGCGCCATCCATCAAGCTCGCTTGTCGGGAAGTTGGGTGGAGGCAGAACACTAGTGTTGCTTATGTCTCTAAGTCGAACGCAGTCGCCGAGAGGAATCTCAGGTCCGTGCTTGAAGGGACTAGAGTAAACCTTGAACAGGCAGGGCTTCACCATTCCTATTGGAGTTATGCTGCACGACATTGGTGTATGGCACACAACATCCAGGACCACCCTGAAATCTTATCTCCGTGGGAGCTTCGTTTTGGGGAAAAGTTCAAGGGACCCAACATTCCTTTTGGGGCTCATATTGATTATTGGACTGGACCAAAACTCAAACCCAAGAAAGATCTGCGTTTTGATCCAACTTCAAATCCAGGTGTCTTTTTGGGATATGCCATGCAACCAGGTTTCGTTTGGAGAAATGAATTTCTTGTAGCATCATTGAAGGATCTCATGGAAAAGGAATTCAACGAATCAGTTCAAGTCGTTCGTGTCAACCAACTCACCGTACCTGATGGACCATTCATTTATCCCTTGAAAGGTAGGTACAAGGCCATTAGGGAAGGTTTATACGAATCTCTTAGCCTTGATGCTCCACCAGATCCGAAGAAGATGGACGCTCAAACAATTGAAGACTTGGTTGCCCCAAGGAAAGCTGTTGAGCCAGGACCGGTGGAGGGCGAAGAGGAGTTTGAGCAGTTGATGCGTGAAGCTGGACTTGAATCTGATGACATCGAAGTGATTGACCCTAAAACTGGAAAATCAGAATTTATCTCAAAGGATGACCCTTCATACTACGAT